GGCTTCATAATTCCCATGCTCCACGACGACGCACATTTACTTCTCTCTCTCTTTTTAGTTATTTTATTTCTTGTAATGGCCACTAACAAATTTAAATTTAGTTCAAACATTTTCTAGTCGGGCAGATAATCATAAATCCAACTTAAATCCGTACTAAATACAATTAATTTTAAAAATTACTGTCTAATTTTTAAGAAAAAACTAATACAAAATACATGAAAATAACATTTAATTATAAATTTTGACCGACTAACTAACAAATTAAAACAATCAAGTAATTATATAATTACATAAAAATATTTACACATCTAATTTAGGGATCTATCCATGTTGAATGATCTAATATACATACATATATATATTTTAAAAATTGAGTTTTATATTAACAAATTAATTAAAGTATAATAAATCAATAATAATTTTATCTAATATAAGTATTCATTGATTAAATAACAATTATTTATTAATCAAAGTTAATATATTTGATAATTCTTACCGTTTTGTCATTGTTCTTGCCCACAAGCATTTTTACAATTCGTATATGTAGTAGCTTGATTACATTTCTCGAGTTAACTCATTAAAAATTTAAAACCATTTGACTTTGTTTAAATATGTATATATATATATGCATTAAGATAGGAGCTTAAATTTACATATTCGGCTAACACAGCCGAGCTATAGGGGCAAGATTGAAATTTAATTATATGTCTTATATTAAATTATATTATATGGTATATGTTTTTGGTTCGTCGTTGACATGCCATGAGGGATGGTTTGATCTCTATCCCCAACCAAAGGCTGTCGTCTTTTCTCTTTTTCCTTTGCTTCAATCCAACGCTGCTCTAACTTTTTCTTTTTTATTTAATTAAAATAATCATTTTAAGATTTGGTGTATAAATTTGGTATTTTTCAAATTGTGTGTAATTTATTGTGAAATTAAAAATTTATGTGTGAAAAAGTCACATTTTAAAAAATATGTGGAGAAAAATGTCATTTTTCCTAAACACAATTCTATATATGGAGCAAAAAAGATTATTTATTTAGAATTGCCAATCTTCTACTCGAAGTGAAAAGATATTTGAGCATGCAAAATGAATTAAGGAATTAGAGAGTAATTCCTATAAAATTCAGTGTCCACAACAATTTTGTTTGTGACTCAAATATACATAACGATCCAAGCTAAACACGATAATATATAAAATAATAAATTAAATCTGATTTACAATTTATTTAAACCAAATTAAATATTTCTAATAGAAATTATAAATGATTAATGAAAATCATATACAGTTGTTGTATAAAATGTTCTTTTTCAAATTCCAATCAAATTAAAAAATTGGACATAAAACGGAATGCATTTACTTTTTAAGTATACAAAATTGACATTCGTAAAATAACTCGATAAAATTTTGAAATATCAAGCGCTGTGTCACATAATTTCACACTACGACGTTGGATTCAACAAGAACTTGTATTCGTAATATCTTAGGTTTATAATAAAACATTAACAAATGCAGAAACATTAATATGTCACAATCTAGGTAAGTAGTTAACGTTTCACACATTCACTAAAGTTCACGTTACACACACTCATTAAGGTTCATTAATAGTTATGATCCAATAAATTAATCTATTTAAATAATATCTATAAATTAAAAATGGAAGAAGAAAAAAAAGAAAAAAAAAACAGTGAAAAGGCATCGAGCAGTAAAAAAAAAAAAGAAGCCCAATGGGCATACAAAGCATTAAGTTGAACAATGAAGAAATAGCCCACAGGAAGAATGGGCCTCTCTATTGCTGATGTGTCACATATATTTGACGTGTCGTGTTTTGATTGGTTGAATCTACCGGTAGAGAGAGAGGAAGAGAAAACTGGATCTTAGCTTGTCTTCTCGTACCTTCCGATGCATCAGCAACTGCCACGTTCCTTTTTTCTTCTGCAGTATAAATTAAAATTTACACCCCAATTTCCTAATATATTCCACAACTAGCCCCGTACTTTTATTTTATAAAAATAAAAAATTAATCCACCACTAAAAATTTCTTCATCTCTAATCTAATCATTGGTTTGCATGATAGTGTGTTATGTACTCCTTTTGTCATTGTTCTGTCAAGGTATTTTTTTTGGATGTAGATGGCAAATTTAATATTTTAAAAGTGACGTTTTGTTAATGATACAAAGTAATTTAAATTATTTTAATATAAATGTTGTATGCTATGATTATAGTATTATTGAAATTTTAAAATATAAATACCAATGTTTACAGCATGGGAAATCACTTATCTTTAAGCTAATTAATGGCAATCAAAATCAAAGGTTATGGATGCAAAAGTTAATAAACTAAAGGGCCAATTTGCACTTTATATCACATTTTCTATCTGGATTTTGATTTTCGGGTGACTTCGTAGATTTCTAGAAAATCTATTTAAAATTTAATATTAACAATATAAATATCAGTATTTTCTCTCTCATCATCCATCCATCTCTCTCTTCAAAAGTTAAATGTGGACCGCGAACAAAGCTTTTCGTTCTGGTTCGTTGCCGCCTTCCACGTTCCTCATCCTTTATTCTCTGCTCTTCTCTCTCTCTCTCTCTGCATAAACCCTAACCCTAATTTGGTGCCGTTGCCTCCGTCTTATCTCTATCGCCTTCTTCTGGTTCGAATTCGAGTTTTCTTGCATTTTCTGCAGATCTTTAGATCCGTAAGATTTGGAATCCCACTTTCTCGATTCCTCCCATCTCTTAATTTTCTGTCGAGTTTTGAATTTTCTTCTCGTTTGTTTCATGTGAATAACCGTCTGAATTTCGATTTTTTCATGTGCAATTGTGAATTAGGTTGCTAAATCGATCGATTCGGGCTTGTTTTAGTCACTTACTCCAAAAATTTTTTTATAGAAAGTTTGAAATCGCCTGTTAGTTTTTTCTTTTCATTTCTCCGGTTCGGATTGGAACCAGAATACGATTTTTCGGGATTGGAAGATTTCAATTCGACTCGTTCGAATTCAGAGTTTCCAGATCTAACTTCGGTTTAGTCCCACCACTGTTTTCTTGAATGCTATCGCGTGATTGTGATCATTTCGAAGAACGTTTCTTTAATGGGAGAAGAAGCTGTTTGTTTGGAGATGCCAATGGAAGGAGTAATGACAGATGGGAATTCATCAATGAGCGAATTGAAGAGAGACCGTATATATCTTGCAGATGATATCGAAGCAGAGGAGTATCCGAACAAGAAACAAGTGAAAGAGGCTTCAAATGATGACATGAAATCTGAAATTTCGAATCCAGTGGCGTCTCCTGTTGAAAACAACTCCAGTTTTCACGACATCTCGAGCCAACCCGCGAAGCAGAGGAGCACCGGCGATCCGATGGAATGCGGCGAGGTTACTGCTACTTGTTCTGGTTCCGAAGATACGGCAAGTGATGAAGAACGCAGTGGAACCGGAATGGATAATTCGAGCGATGAATCGACGTCCAGTTTCGTGTTGGAGATTCCGAAACATCTTAGTTCAACGGGGATCACGAAAATTACATTTAAGCTCAAGAAACCCAAGGAGACGAAAGATCCTGCATGGGACAATGTTTCTTTACGTGGAACTCCTTCTATGGGAATGAAGACAGCGAAGAAGATTGCTTCTGGGAACTTCCCGTCTAATGTGAAGAAGCTATTATCGACGGGTATTCTCGAGGGAGCTCGTGTGAAGTATATTTCGAGCCCACCAGTGGTAAATTCCCACTTCCATGTGTAGATTATCTCCCTGCATTTAGATATTCTCATTTGTTATGGTAATTTGTAGGTGACTTCTGTTCTTATATAACTTTTAATGGTCATCAGAGAGAGCTTCAGGGGATGATCCACACTTGTGGATATTTGTGTGGATGTACAACGTGCAATTTCTCCAAAGTAAGTATGCTCTTACGGTTCCGTTTTGATTTTGTTTTTACGATTGACTTGTTCTGCATTTTAACTACTGGGTTTGCTTTGTTTCATTTTGAAGATTCTTAGTGCGTATGAGTTTGAGCAGCATGCTGGGGCAAAAACGAGACACCCGAATAACCACATTTTTTTGGAGAACGGAAGGCCAATCTATAACCTTATTCAAGAGCTGAAAACTGCACCACTCGATGTACTTTACGAGGTGATAAGGAATGTGGCTGGTTCTGCTCTAAATGAGAAGGGCTTTCAGACTTGGAAAGGTGATGGTCATTTCGGCTGATTTCTGCTGCATTGTTTTTTTAATCACTGTTAGCATTTGGAATTTTTTGGCATTGTAGTTTCTGAGAATTTTATGTTGCAAATATCGGAGAATATGACGCAAAACCGAAATGAATGGAAAAGAAGAATTCATGCGGCCGACCCCAAATAAACTTGGGATTAAGACGATGTTGTTGTTGTAGTTTCTGAGAATTTTATTGGGGCCAACATTGTTTTGTTTCCTGCAGAAAATTTCCAGAAGGGTAATAGCATGTCTGAATCTGACAGGAAGTATACCATGGAGCATCTAAACTCATATCATTCCATTACCAGGTATTAGTCACCGATTATGTTGGGGTTGGGGTTGGGGATCGCTATTCTAAAAAAATAGTGTTAGTTGCATTTGGACGCCACTTTTGCTTCAGCCTTTCTTCCTAGCAGTTGTTATAATATTCCTAGTTACCATAATATTTTGGCTAAAAGTGGTCACTGTGACGTTCATAGTTATCCTGGTCAATCACTTGATGAAAGTAAGGAGAGCAACTATTTTGTAGAGATGACAAGCATAAAGGACACCTTCGAAGGACAGATGCGAATTGTTAAGAAGTATGTGCCTGTCTTTTTTGTTTCAGGAGTGGATTACTTCATTACTTTACAGACAATGTAGTTAACTGGTATGGCCTTATTGCTTGGTTGATGAATTCCTAGGGTTCGCTCTCATAATCCTGGAACAGGCATGCGGCCGACCCCAAATAAACTTGGGATTAAGACGATGTTGTTGTTGTAGTTTCTGAGAATTTTATTGGGGCCAACATTGTTTTGTTTCCTGCAGAAAATTTCCAGAAGGGTAATAGCATGTCTGAATCTGACAGGAAGTATACCATGGAGCATCTAAACTCATATCATTCCATTACCAGGTATTAGTCACCGATTATGTTGGGGTTGGGGTTGGGGATCGCTATTCTAAAAAAATAGTGTTAGTTGCATTTGGACGCCACTTTTGCTTCAGCCTTTCTTCCTAGCAGTTGTTATAATATTCCTAGTTACCATAATATTTTGGCTAAAAGTGGTCACTGTGACGTTCATAGTTATCCTGGTCAATCACTTGATGAAAGTAAGGAGAGCAACTATTTTGTAGAGATGACAAGCATAAAGGACACCTTCGAAGGACAGATGCGAATTGTTAAGAAGTATGTGCCTGTCTTTTTTGTTTCAGGAGTGGATTACTTCATTACTTTACAGACAATGTAGTTAACTGGTATGGCCTTATTGCTTGGTTGATGAATTCCTAGGGTTCGCTCTCATAATCCTGGAACAGGCATGCAACATAAGAAGGTTACTGAAGGTGGCACTAGGAAGAGGTACCTTTCACTTTTTCTGTCACAAATTTTTGTTTCCATGTTTGCATTTCAATACGTGACATTAGTCGTATTTCTATAGGGACAATGATTTACACCGGTTGCTTTTTATGCCAAATGGACTGCCAGATGGAACTGAATTGGCTTACTATGTGAAAGGACAGGTTCGTTATCCCACATGTAGATTTCTTTTTTTCACTAGGAACTTTTGTTTGGATTTACTAATGATCACATTGTGTACAGAGACTACTTAAGGGCTACAAGCAGGGAGGCGGTATAGTATGTAGCTGCTGTGACAGAGAGGTAAAATGCTGAATGTGGTGTACATATATCAACATTGAGAGTTACGATAACCGGAGCATCCTTTTGTTAATACATTTTATACTTTCCGATAACAGATCAGTCCTTCTCAATTTGAAGCACATGCCGGAATGGCTGCTAGACGACAGCCGTGAGTTATCTAACAAAGATCTGATGTTTTGCTTTAATGTTGGAGTTTTATTTTAATTTTCTTTCTCATTTGCAGTTATCGTCATATCTACATCGCTTCTGGATTGTCATTGCATGATATAGCCATGTCATTGGCGAATGGACATGTCATTACCACTGGCGACAGTGATGACATGTGTGCTGTTTGTGGGGATGGTGGTGATTTGCTACTTTGCGCTGGATGTCCTCAAGCGTTTCATACAGGTAGGCATTTGCTACCAGTGGAGTATACTGCACTTTCTCATCTTTCTTATAGCATAAACAGGGTAGTTTGCACAAACACCCATTCTGTTCTTCCTAAATATGGAAATTGCTGAATAATTGATTTTGGAAATAGTTTTCAGAAGCACCCTTTTCATTGTTGTGTTTTCATTACCAACATTGTGTGGATCTGTTCTTTGTTTGTTTCCTCGATTTTTTATGCTTAGTGTTATTTCTGCTGCAGCGTGTTTGAAATTTCAGTCTAAGCCTGAAGGAACTTGGTACTGTTCAAGCTGCAATGATAGACCTGTATCCAGTAAAATGGTCACAACTGCTGATCCTTCAAGTAATTCTAAACCAATAGTTATAAGATTGACACGAGTCGTGAAAGCCCCAGAAAGTGAAATCGGCGGTTGTGTGTTCTGCAGGTTGGTTGTCATATTCTTTTTTCCCAATGCATGCTTATCTGTGAATGTTGTCAAATGTACGATACCATCCAATTCTTAGAGGGTCTTAAATACTTCAATGGTATGTTAGAATATCATGTGAAATCTACTCTTTTGGCGAGCACATTTAAAATAAATTCTTTAACAATGTGGATTTGCGTTCCTTGGGGTTTTTAAACATATTAGAGAAATTCTAATGCTGTAATATTTTTAGCTACTTAAGATGCTGTAGTCTTTTAATATTTGAGGTTTTCCTTTCTTCTCGCTTTCACTCTTGATAGGTCCCATGATTTTAGCGCTGGGAAATTTGACGATCGAACTGTTATTCTTTGTGACCAGGTACACGTTTTTTTTCCTCACCTCCTTAATTTAATGTTTCCTTTTTACGAATTTTTTCTTGTCTTAACATTACTTTCTTCTTTTGCTTTGAAGTGTGAGAAAGAGTACCATGTCGGTTGTTTGAGAGAAAATGGGCTTTGCGATTTAAAAGTAAGTGTGGTTAGGTTCTCCATTTACTCTATGTTGATGAGGTTTGTTAAGCTTTCTCAACCACTTCCCTGAACATTGTTTTAGGAAATTCCACAAGACAAATGGTTCTGTTGTGGAGACTGCAGCAGAATCTATATGGCTCTGCAGAGTTCTGTTTCCTGTGGAGTACAAACTATTCCTGCTCAGTTGTCAGACACAATTAGAAAAAAACATAGAGAAAAAGGAGCAGCATTTGTAGACAATGGGGATAATGTGCAATGGAGAATTCTTAGTGGAAAAAGTCGAAATCAAGAGCATCTACCCTTGCTCTCACGCGCTGCTGCTATTTTCAGGGTAGGTCTTGATGATTTTGATCTCTTCTTACATAATGTTATAGACATTTAATCCTGGTCTCTCTCTCTCTATATATATATCAGATAGCCGTCTTGCTTGTAAAAATCCTCTGTTTTGCATCCTTACAGCAAAATTTACCCCCACTTGACTCTTACCTGTCAAAATTTCCAGGAGTGTTTTGATCCTATTGTTGCAAAGTCAGGTCGTGATCTCATTCCTGTCATGGTCTACGGGTAAGCGACAATGCACTACAAAGCAGCAAACCGGATATGGTCCTATTTATCATTCTCGAGAAAGAACAAGGTGTGGGCAAATGTTTTATATCAGCCTATTAATGCTCCCTCGATATGTTTCAGGAGAAATATATCTGGACAAGAGTTTGGAGGAATGTACTGTGTGGTTCTGATGGTGAAGTATGTTTATATTGTCATTGTACTCTTTGTTAATAATATCCCCTTATACGTTTGCTAATCCTTTTTCTTTTGTGATCCAATATTCAGTTCTCTTGTTGTGTCGGCCGCTCTGCTTAGAATATTTGGAAGACAAGTTGCCGAACTTCCTCTTGTCGCTACGAGTCGACAGTACCAGGGAAAGGTAAGCACGCGTCTCTATTAGCATCCCATTTCTCGGGTTTCGTCCTTCCTTTTGCATGTAAGCAATACGTTTCTTTTTTTTAAAAATGGTTCAACAGGGATATTTTCAAGGGTTGTTTGCATGCATAGAGAGTCTACTCTGTTCTCTGGATGTTCAAAAACTTGTTCTCCCGGCCGCTGAAGAAGCGGAGACTATATGGACGAACAAGTTTGGCTTTACAAAGATGACAGAACAGCAAGTAAGTTAAACTTAGTGATAAGGATGGGTTTAGAAATGAATGCCAGGAAGAAGCATGTTGTAACACTTGTGTTTTTTGTTCGTGTAAACGAGCAGTTGCAGAAGCACCAAAGAGAAGTCCAGTTTACAGTCTTCAATGGAACATTGATGCTGGAGAAGACCGTACCGCCCACTGCATCCCCCTGACTTTGGATTCGAAGCTGCTGAATTTTTGTTGCTAGCCGAATCTCGTCATTCGTGCCTTGGTTTGTTCTGTAAGTAGTTTTTCTTTCCCCCCCTCAGTTGTGTAAGAAGAAGTTCATCATCAGTGTGAAGTGGTTGTTGATTAGTTGCCTTCTTCCGCCATTAGTATTTCCTGGATGTGACAAAGAGATAGGCACCACCCATACATATATAGGATCAATTAGAATGTTCATGTGACTTCAAATTTTTTTTTTGTTTGCATATCAAGGTTTATAAGGCTGGATAATTTAAATGTTTAATTTTAAAATTTATTTGTGGTAATAACCGATATTTGAATGCCACACTTGGACTTTCGGCTCGGGTAAATCGGGTTTAACCGAATTGACCCGAATAAGCAGATTTCGAATAACCGATTAATTTCGGTGAACTGGATAAACCTCCTAAGTCCTACCTCCTTCCACTCGACATTGTACTGCGTCTTGTTCAGCCTCCTGCTCCTGCACCATCATCTGCAAATCTTGAGCCCCCTCTTTCTCTCTCGTTTGAGTTCTTTGTGGCAGGTTTTCCCTTGTCGTACTAGGTTTCTTTAGGAGTCACTATTTCGGTTATTAACCGAATAATCGAATCGAACCAAATAAGATATAACTATATCCGAATCGAATCCGACATAAAAACCAAACGGTTATGATTTCTTTAAACCTTAGAAAACCGAAACCGAATCTAATTAAAAAATAAAATTGAAGCAAATCGAAATTTATATACAAAACCGAATGATAAGAGCGGGTGAGTTTTCTCAATCTATGAGCAAAACACATAACATGCATTTATTTTTATTGCAATAAAATTTCATGAACATGAGGAGGATTGGGGACGGGGAAAGCGTGGGGGTGCGACCTCAGCTACGACTACGTCAAGATCAATGCTGAGTACACCACGTAGAAACCTTATTTTTGGACTTTGTTGGACTACGAGATCGGATATTGGGTAACCCTTCCACCTTGTCATGTCTCTCCTCCGGCCCACCAGTGTAGATATCCAAACTCAAAGTTGAATGCCTGGTTGGTTCTCATTACACAAATATCGCAAAGAGCATCTCATTTGACGACAAAGTAGGAGGGTTTCAGACAACCTTTGCAACACACAAACCACACCTAAGTCCGAATCCGAAATATTCAGAAGAAAAGACCAACTCCGACACCGCATTCCACAACGCGAAGAAGAGTATTGCAGAAAAGGAAAAAGGGTGTACTCTCTCTCAGTCTCAGATGGCCTCGGCTGCCACAGAGTAAAGTACCTTGGTGGGGTTAGCCCGGAGGAAAATGCCGCCGCAATATATGTCTGGATTATTACTGACGTGAAACTTGTCTCGGCTACTACTCTGTTTCCGAGATGACTGCTTCTTGTCCTTTCCACCACGAGACGAGGAGGAAGGAGAATGACCGCTTCCTTTCTGCCCTTTCCTTACGGTCTTCTTGTGGTTAGATTTCTGATGATGATGTTTCTTGCGGCCGACTCTCGTGTGAGACTCTATGGAAGGAGGAGGGTCATACACATCTTCCGCCCACGACACTCTCATCTTCCTTGCCGACAATCCGTACTTCTCCCGACTGCCTTTCATGGCCGGGATGACAATCATTTGTGCCTGTTTTCATAAAACAAAACAAAACATGGGACCGACATAGATAAGCAGATTAAAGACGAGATGCCAGTTGCCACCCAATTCAGACACGGAATCTGAGGACGAAAACAACGTTCGTCAGAAGTATATTTAAGAAAGTTGAGAGGTAAGCTTACAGTCTCGGAGAATATTCGCTGCAATGCAGCCGAAAAGTCCTCGTCTTCCTCATCCGAAGACTTGGCAGATAAACAACCGGAAACAGATTTGCAGGTTTCATACGCTTCACTCACAGTTTCGTGTATATTACCGGTATCATCCCCATCGGATTCCTGAGAATCTTCAGAGCTGGAAAAGGAAGGACCAAGCTTCGAGCCATCAGAGCAATTCGTGGGGCTCAAATTAGGGTTTTCAAAGTGGGTATTTGCGTCTCTGGGGTCCGGTTTGCCAAAAACAGAGATCATATCCAATTGAGGGCAAAGATCTTCAGAGCAGAAGTCACTGCAATGAACAAATTCCAGTAATAAGCATGTAAGAAGACGATCATGAATCGTACGGACAAAAAAAGAAACAGAATTGACATGGAAAACAATAAAGAACAAAGGCAGCATCAAGAAATCGTCTGCTTGATCGAAATTACACCATGAAAGAACATAATCTATGTGGTAAAAAATAACAGATGAGACGAGATTGCTTGTAATCACGAAAACATGAAGCCAGAAGATTCCTAGAACGGAAATTTTCATCTACATACCTTTGTAGGATTCAAATCGAATGCCCAACAAGTCAAGAGAACCGATAATCGACAACAGACTATACGTCCGACGATTCGATTAAGATCACGTATTTCTACTTCGATGACAGAATCGAGCTGAACAAAGGTCACCAGAACAACCCAAAGATCAAGGAAAAACGAACGATTCGAGAATAACCTGAAAAGGTTAACTAAGATTACCACGCCAATCACTCTTCTGAAGAGGTTTCAGACGATGAGAACACAAACCAGAATGATAAAAGGTCAACGAAGGAATCAAATCAAGGAGGAGGAGCTTAAAGGGCACCCAAGGCATTATATCTATGCTCTTCGAAACCCTATACCCAAAAAGAAACGAAGAACCCTAATCTTAAAAATCCGATCAGACAGACGCAAGATCTCATAAATCGAGCCGAAAAAACAGAGAGAAAGAAGAGTTTCGGACAACAAAGATTTAAAGAACCCTAGAATCGTATCACGCAATCAAAACGAACACATCGTAGAAAATCGGGCATGACCAGCTAGAGAAGCTAAAACAGCGACAAGAGAACAACGAAGAAGATGAGGAAAGGGAAGAATTGATGACAATACGCCTGTACATACACACATATATATAAAGAGAGAGAAGGAATTAGAAAGTCAACAGGATCAAGGGCGAGAGGCGTTGGCTGTTTTACTTAGACCGAATCACAGACGTACACGTGTCAAGCGCATTATATGGATAATGTTTTCTTTTTTGGGCTCGAAAAAGTATTATTTTGTAATATGGGCCGTATATCAGGCCCATACAACTCGGTGGCTCATACGGCGTCGTTTCACATACTTGTTCAGTCGAGCATATTATAAGAACCTTTAATGGTTATGATTTTTGTATAAAATTATCTTCGGTTGGTTTATATCGAATCTAATTCAGTGATGGCCTTCGGATAAAAAAAACGCCAATCTAATTAAATCCACTGCAAGCCCGAATTAAAATCCAATTTCTTACTCTTACCAGGTCCGAGTCACTGATTCCTGTCCATTCCGTTATTTCATATGCCCAATTCATCAATACCCAGAAGAACGGAGAAACGATCACACCAAAAGAAAAACCACCTAAGAGCTCGTGAATTTGGTTACAGCCTTCGTCCCTTCCGATACGGCGTGTTTCGCGAGCTCACCTGGCAAGACCAATCTCACGGCGGTTTGGATCTCCCTAGACGTAATCGTCGGCTTTTTGTTGTACCTCGCGAGACGCGATGCCTCCTGAGCGAGCTTCTCGAATATGTCGTTGATGAAACTGTTCATGATCCCCATGGCCTTGCTTGAGATCCCGATGTCTGGATGTACCTGCTTCAGCACTTTGAAGATGTAGATCTTGTATGTCTCCGTGCTCTTCTTCGCCTTCTTCTTCCTCTTCTCGCTCCCACCTTCCTTCGTTATCTTCTTCTCCGCCGGCTTCTTCTCTGCCTTCGGCGCCATTGACGACTCCTTTGGTGATCTCAAAAAGTCAGAGAGGAGGAGAGAGAAAATCGGCGACAAATCAAAGAGGCACGATTTCTTATATAGAGAGTTGGGATGGTCTCTGATTAGTTAGATCAGCATTCACGCGGATCGATGACGTGGAGATTTTTCCGGATTCGGACACGACTTTTCGCATAATGTTGGGCTCAATACGTTCTGATGGGCTTTTAGAGCGGGCGAAGCAAAGCTTTCTCGTTTCGAATGTTTATAACCCAAGCTTTCCAATGGTAGTATTTGACAAATTAATGGTATAATAATAATAATAATAATAACAAAGAAGATAAACAATTATAATAACGAGATATTTAAATGGTTGAAGAAACGAGAGGATTATTTAAGGCAATCAATCGCATAAAATTTTAACAAACCGGAGAACAATGTCAAAAGGGCAGCAAAACCATAATATCATGTAATCTTTTTTTTTCTCTGTTCATGATCATTCATCCACTGAAGATCTTTATACGAACCTCCATGAAAAAAACCGATGCACTGAAGCAGAAAGAGATATTTCTCTTCCCTTGGGCTGAAACTGAAGCGAACGGGCAAACACAGTGTCGAGCTTTTTTCGTGCCGGAAATCCTCCCCGTCAATGCTGAATCGCCATGCTTGCAGAACCTTAGACCCTGCTCGGTTCCAACAAAACATGATCCGAGTTAGTGGCTCTAAGTTCTTGTCGTGCAGAGAAAAGGAAATCCATTGAACCGAAAATGGAGTTAAAAGAGATAAAAACCAACAAGAACACGGTTTTGTTTGCAATTTTCTTTTTGCTCGAGAATATTAATACAAAAGATCAACACCCATATGAGAATCTAGAGATTTCAACATATCTAGAAATTATCAGACAACACTTACCGGTTTTCTGTCTGCCCAAGAACTAATATAACAAACCGATAAAAGAAACCATCGGATGATGACTGGTCGCCCTATAAGTCTGACTAATCATATATCGAGTAGTATTTGTAAGAACTACTCGTATTAATGGCTAGATTCAGAATAATATGGATTGATCATGTTGCAAACATGAGCTATTGTGATGTGACGTTTGAACAAAACACGAAAGGAACCCCATATACAGTACACAGACCATGAAAGGGCAAGAAGATTCAAAGACATCATCATATGAAGGCAAACACACATGATATCAAATAGACTGAAGAACCACATTGGTCATATGAAAGATAATAGATCATGATGATAAGGAAACCTATGAATCAAAACAAGTGATGATCATCACATTTATGATCCGGTAAGATCGCAACTACAATTACTTTGCAATAAAAAACCACACTTTCGCATAAGGAAATGACGAGAAGAAACACTTTTTCCAATTTGCCCTACGGTGCTTGAATGCGAATTTAACAACGGAATAGCCCAAATGACTGATCAGCCTTGACCCTGATCTTGGAAGGTGCATTAACAGCATACAGAACCGGAATCCAGGATGTTATATAACGTATTAGCTATCTTTCTCATTCATCTTCTACATGTAATTTGACCAAACACTACAGTTTCCCAACAACTGATCGATCCAGACAAGATCACAAAAATCATGAACCGGTTGCAAACTAGATCACAAAAATGGTGAACACAGACGCAGACCCAGTTCCCAATTTCCCAAAAGGGCACGTTTTCATCAAAGTACAGAGGTTCAATAGTGAGTTACATGCATCAAGAACTAGCCTACTAAATCGAAATGAATCACTTTGGGTAAGAAAACGACCTTCGAGAACCGGCGTTGATGTTCCGGTGAAGAATCCGACCACGAGCAGAATCTCCGCCATCGATCAGTTCTCTGAGCCCTAAATTCTCCACCTTCTCCTCCTCCTCCTCTTCCTCCTTCTCTTTCACCTCCTTCTTCTCCTTCTCCACACGTCGATTCGGTAACCTCACCGGCAACCTCTCGAAGTAGTTCCCGTAGATATACTCAGGCGTGTATCCGTTCTCCTCGTCGAACAGCATGATATGCCCGTGCCATTCCCAGACACGATAATCACTGTCCTCATCTTCGTGAAACCCTACACAGATGTGGTGATCGTTGACTGTCACCGCCTGACCCGAATTGGGTTTAAGAGAATCGCTCCGACCCGACACGATAATCCGGATCAGCTCCTTCTCGAGCCTGGCCTCTTCTCGGGCGAGCTTGCTCTGATAATCTCCGGAATACTCGCCGTCGCTGTCGTCGGAGAGGTTGTCGGATTTGAAGAGGAGGTCTTCTAGGGATTGAGAGAGAAAAGGGGAATTGGGAGGACGGATTTGGAGGCGACCAAGTAGGGTCTGGATGAGGAGATTGTCAATGTTACTGTTTCCATTGAAGGAGCTCATGGTTTAGCTCGTTATCGTCGTCGTCGTCTTCTATCTTGGGACTGGGGTTTTAGGGATAATAGGTCAAGGGTTTTTGTTCGGGTTCTTCACTCAAATGACCCAGATGGGTCGCATGAATTTCACATGTACACCAGAAAAAATATAACACATTTTTTTCTCCGTAAAAAGACGAAATTACCCTTAATGAATCACGATATTTATCCGTTCGAAAACAACTTCGTTATTACGACTTCGTAATTAATTCTAAATATAGTTACAAAAAGGTGGCAAAAAAAATCATACCTCTTATTTTAGTTGTATATCAGTTATATGTTAGTCGCAAAAAGGTCGTAAAAAATAAAACGAAAAGGGTATTTTGGACTTTTTCACCCGAAAAGTGGGTTAAAATTGAAAAAAAAAATTTTTTTTTTTGGAAGTGGTGTACCCTGAAATTGGTGTGAAACAAGTAGGTTATTTGGGTAATTTTCCCTTTTTGTTCACAGGGACGAGGATCGATTTATATGTATTAGATGGGTCGCGTAGTAAATTTGTTAAGAAGGGAAGGGTAAAATCGGGAATATGCACAGCTCATTGTATGCTCAGATTTCATCAATAATGAGATGTTTTAGAGTAGACTGGAAAAGCTATCCAAAATATTCAAAATTAGTGAATATGCATATCATAATTTTTAGATCAAGCTAATAAAATGTCACGCGTACATATATAGTGTAATTTGTGCCATCTTAAATCCTATTAAAATCATATACAAAACACCTAATTGGTAACGAATGAAAATATTAAAAATCTCTCATTTTTATGGCCATTCATTTTGATTCGAATTCAGTTTTGCATAAATAACATGCTTCTTTAAAAGAATCAATTTTATTTAGGTTTATTTTCCTTCAAGTTTTTCTATTTTAAAAGAAATGTCAAATTCAATATTTATAGCAGATTCATGTATATAATTATATATTACTTTATTAAAGCCTCTGAGTCTGTGTGTTTTCGCCATCATCGAATTGGACCCAACAAAAAACCATGAGAGACAGTATCCCACCACCGTATTCATGTATCTATATGTAAGAAAACAAATGTGATTAAAAAGCACTGTTTCGTCTGTCGTCTGTCTCAAGGCCACTTGCTTGGTCGGGCAATCATCTCCTCAAGGTCTCGAGGACGTAATCTCCGTAAAGATCCCTTCAATACCAGAAAACACCCCCATCTATTAGACAGATCCCCTATTAAAATTTTGCTTAATTATATACATACATGCATGCATACGTACATATATGTAGATACATCATATTATCATGGCTTACATGGAATGCTGAATGGCATCATATGCTGCTGTCGCGGGCAAGAAGTCGTTAACGGCTACTTCCTTGTTCTCGTTCTTCTTATCTATACGGAAAAAAAAAGTGCGAAAGATTCGGGCTTTGGCTACGAAACTAAAGATTAAAAAGAAAAAAAGAGTTGAAGAAAAGAGAATTACAGTCTTCAAAGAATCTGCGGATCTCAGCCAAACGATGAGGAGGAAGCTCCTTGATGTCATTGTAATGGCGATACTCGGGATCATCAGCACAGACTGCGATGATCTTATCATCTTTCTCGCCCTACGTTTAAAACATTATGTTATATCAGTTTCATTTTTCTTAAAATTTCTCTGAACAATCTGGGAGAGAAGAAGAATATGAGAAATTTTCAAAAGATAGGTTGTCCACCTGATCAATCATTGGCATGAGGCCAATGGCTTTGGCTCGTAGGTAGCATCCAGGGATTACAGGTTCCTGCACAAATCACATTTGTTTATGATCAAATTCAACTTGGGCTATGATGAAAGCCATACATTTCAAAGTGGCTTCAATGGAAAACTATGTCCAAGATCGAAACTTTGAGTAAAGAATCCAGTCATGGCATTTCCCGATTTTGGGTATTAACCCGCAATTGAAATGTACATTCAAATCCCAAAAAAACGCTACCGTAGAGCCAGTGATGAGGTATATCTACATCACTATAAGACTGCAAAGTGATTTTTAAGGGTGAAAAATGGTATTTTGATGGTACCATTTTTACCTGCATGATGATGAGAACAAACGGAGTATTATGCGATTTCTGATTGGTGGAGAATCACTAAAAGAACAAACGGAGTTTTTACCTGCATGATGATGAGAACGTCCATAGGATCACTGTCCTCGCAAAGGGTACGAGGGATGAACCCATAGTTGTGGGGGTAAACAACCGATGAGTAAAGAATCCGGTCAACCTGAAATGTATACTAAAAAAGGTTACAATCTTTACAGCCAGCGAGGAAAAACAGCAATATCGGTATTACCTTAATAAGACCGGTCGTTTTGTCAAGTTCATACTTCACCTTGCTCCCTTTTCCTATCTCAATCACCTGAAATCGTACCCATATGTCTGTTAAACCCTTTCCCGAAAAACAACATGTGAGACTAATATCAGTGGTTCCTAATCATAGTTTTCTGGGGAAAACATTTGCGAGGTACAACAGAATTTTCCCGGAAAATATATCAATTAGGCAAAGGCTCTCACATAGTACAACACTTCTGAAATGGTGCAGCCAAACAAAAATGGATTATTCAGATAATGAATCCAGGAAAAATGGTAGGTACCCATCTGAATTTTCTCAGCAAAGCTTAAAAATGTATATGCTAACAGTTCTAACTGGTGTAAATATTTTCTCAGCACGCACATAAAAGTAGCAATCATAGAACATAAATAACTGCTATTTTACTAATAATTGTTTGAAAGAACAAAACTTTGCTGATCCAAAGGGCTACAGAGGTTTCCAACTATCACAAAAATGTGTAATGAAAACTTACACAATTGAAGATTTTCGGGGCTTCAGGTCCTACAAACAATGGATAGAAAAGAGAAACGTAGAGAGTTAATATCAGTGACAATGACATGTCAAGAACACAAAATAGAGAAACATGAAATGAGGCTTACCTATCTCGAGATCATGCCAAGGGTGTGCAGCAACTGATCTTTGGGACATGGAAGAGAGTATCCTCTCATTGAGGAGAGGACGTGAAGCATGTTTCTCCATGAAAGTTTTGGCAGGAACCTCGAGTGGTGGGGCCATTGCTACAAGAAAATACAGCACAGAGAGATTCATAAACACAAAACCCATAAGATCTATCTGTCTGAATGGAATCTCAATCTAAAGGATCCAATCAACCGTCCGAACTATATCAAACATCTAAACCACATTCACATTAACTCTTGGGAAGATCATTTGGTCTGCAATGTTGCACAAGCTCTCTCAAAGGGGAGAGGATGCTCCAACCAGAAGGACAAGATTCGAACTTTGGAGTTTTGATTCGGAATTAAAACTAAAGAAAGTTACAGATACAATAACAAACTTCCCAGAAATGCTCATGTTTTTGCTGGAGTTCATAACCCATAAAATCGATTCCACAGATAACAGTTCAAACCCATGATTATAAAAGCCAACTAGAAAACCCGGAAAAATTTCAAAGACCACATTGCCAAAGATCATGCTCAAGAGATGACCTTGAAGCAACCGTATCCTTGTCCGAATCCCCCAGAAATCTGGAGATAACTCTTAAGTCGTTCAATGCATTCAATTTGTACAGACCCATAATTTTTTCCCCAAACCATGAAAAAATTAGACACCAAATGAGATCTACGGACCACAGAGATCCATTGACAACAAAGAAATATCCAGAAATAACGAAAAAAGAAAAAAAAATCCTTCCTAGCATATTAAACATCGAGAGTTCTGAACGCAAACTTCCACGGTCTCAAAACATCATATTACTCGACACCCAGAAGAGAAAACTCATAAAAAACCATACACGGAACTTGGTGACATTTGGGAACTTGATCGAAAGAGGATACAGAAAACCCTAGAAAATGGGAGAGAGATAACACAAGCCCGAATCAAGACCATTTCGAAATTCATACCTGCCAACAGTCCGAGTGAATGAATCGATCTCCGAGCGAAGTTTTCGGAGAATGAAGAAACAAGCGCACAGATCTCCAGAAAAAAAAAGAGAGAAAAGAAAAAAAATTGCGAGCGAAGTAAAGGAGCGCACTACAGTCGAGAGAAAAGCTCTAAAGGAGAACGTAGCTGAAACTGTACGCGTTCCCGCTCTCTGCTTCCTCTTCTGCTATTTGAAGGCAGGCACCACCATTATGCACATTCCAAAATAAAATAAAACAAAAAAAAATTGCAAAATAAAGTAATGAAAAAGAGGAAATTTGGAATTTATGGAAATAATTAATTCACCAAAAAAAAGTGGATATCCTCGGCAGGAGCGAGCATGTTTCGACACGTGTTGTGATATCTTTGGTCATGTGGCACAGTTGGACGAGAAGTTGACGGAAGTCCTAACGGTGATGGGGTCCAGTTAGGTCCTCCACGTTTCCGTGAGTCGGATGGTTAGGCGTCCACGTTAAGTCTCCGTTAGTGCGATATTCTGAGGCGAGGGCTGTAATTAGATGTGAGCGGGTGCACAGGGAGTTTGTGTACTAGTATCTGACGTGGCTAAGCCTCTGTGGGTGGAGTTTACATCACGCATCTAATGGTCAGAATAAATATAATTTCCGGAGAATATTCGATTTCAGTCCTTTAGATTTATGTATCTAATGAAAATAGTTAATCCATATAATGAATATTGAATTTAAAGTTTTGTAATATAATATATATATATATATATTACTTCTCATATGAATGAAATGAAACACTGGATTTGAAAAGCGAGTATTGCCCGTTTAATTCCAGCGGAAAAAAAAGAGAATATTTTTGCCTAATTATAAAACCTGTGACGTGTCGCGCTTTCACTGGTTTCTAGATAGGATTTCAATGGACCGTTCGCACGAGATAAGTGGTAGCATCATCGCAGATTCGCAGGAATATAAATAAAATATTCTATGATGATAATCTCATATTAGTTAAATATTTCGAAGCATATATTTTATATCGGTATCTATATCTAGCTAGATTTTCTTTAGTGTATCCTAATGTGTTATATATATATATACATATATAATACTTGTTTGAATGCAAATATCTTTTTATTGGTAAATATTATAAAAATATTTACCAATATTATAAGTTTTTCTTGTAGAAAACCTTTTTTTATAATTTTGCTATCCTTTTCAAACGGTATTGTATCAAAAATATTTTTATTTTTCTATTTTGATTTCAATTAATACATTTTTTTTAACTGTGATCTTATATTTACTCTTGTATTTACTGTGATTAGAATTATAGTTTGATCACATATTAATCACAATAATTATAACATTAAATTATAATACTTCTATCAAAGGATTAGTAAAATATACCAGAGATGAACATAATAAACTGATCATTATAACTTTAAGTTATAATCAATATATGATCCAATTATAATTTTGATCACAATGGTTATAGAGTTATAATTAAGAGTATATAAAATCAAAATAACAAAAGAGGGTATTTTTGAGCTTTTGTTATAAGTTTTCTATATTATTATATTCTTTGCTTAAATAGAAAGTAATTTTTGGGGGATATGTACAGGTTTTGGTGGACCGATTCTAAGGTCTTCGAGGAAATTGGCATTTTAAAAGTGATTTTTTTACTTTTGGTGAAAAAAAATGTGATTTTATTTTTGTACGTATAATGGTATTAAACTTTGAATTTATTATTGGTGTTGGGAGAACCAACGAAATTATTCATTTGTGAAAACTATATGTCAACGCGGTTAGAAGCTGGGGTTTTCGTTTGAACGCTGCTTGTGATGAAGTTATTAATTATATAATTGAATCGTCTTTTTTTAATAATAAATATCTATTATCACATATATATACAAGATTTCAAAAAAAAAGTATAGATTGCAAAGATTTTAATATATTTTTTTTAAAATGTAAACTTGCAAAGTTTCCCCTTTTTGGTATATATTAATAAATTTACTCTTTCGTTTTTGGTAGGTGTATGTATATACATATATATATATATTCGTTTTTTTTTTGTTTTTTTTAATAAAAAAACATGTTGTTTAGGGGTATTCTATTTTGTTTTATTAAATCAGAAATTTTAAAATTACTTGCAAAATAATATGGTAACTCCACGTGGATAGAACTTTTAGTTTTGGGCTGGGCGTTCTCGAGAGATTTATTGAGCCCAACAAAGGATCCGTCACTTTCGTCCACAACGGACTTGAGAACGACGCCGTTTGATTATCTCACAAATTGATCAAACTATAGCCGAAGATCACGCGCCCGGCCCGACCACCAACACACATCTCCATCACGAACAAAATTCAACGGCTCAGATCAACTCTCTCTCTCTCTCTCACTCTCTCTCCATCTCCGAAAAGCCGATCGAGAGACACCACTTTTCAGCGGCCGACCGGTTGTTGTCGTGCTCCGTTCCTCATCTTCGTCTTCTCCGATCAGATCTGGTGATTTCTCTCTCGATTTTCTAGGGTTTCGGATCTGTCTTTTTCCCTCATTTCCATTGTTTTAATGATTGTTTTGTATTTGTTTGGTTCAGTGATTCGTATTGGTGTTGATTTTGGGTTACGCCATGGCAGCTCCTCCTGCTAGAGCTCGAGCTGATTACGATTACCTCATAAAACTTCTGTTGATCGGAGATAGCGGTACGTTCCTCTTTCGAATCGCGATATTGCTTCTCCGTTCGACGAGTTCCTTGCATTTCCGGGATCTGGTTCAGTTTCTTAGGTTTTGCTGATGCATGTATCGCTTGCGATTGATCCTATACGTTCTAGTTCTTTCGAGGATCGAGGGACCGATTGATATAGTTTTGGACTTGCCATTTACGAATGATCCTAATTGGATCCAGTAATACCTTTCTATACCTAGATTTGAATTTGCTGAACCCGTTTTGATGAATTTCGGATGTCTGACTTCTTGTTGTGGATTCTGAGTCCTTCAGATATATGCTCTGAGAAGTTGAAAATGAATGCTAAAACTGTTTCATGATCTTCTTGGAAAAATGGGTCCAAATGATTCAGATTAGTTTGAGTGCGTAACTTCAGCTTCCCTTCCTTGAGCCCAAGTGATTGAAGATTGCGTTATGTGAAAAGATGTATAGATTCATGCTAATCAAAGGAAGAATTTTGAAAAATAAGACTAGGTAATGAAGATGAAGAGCACTAACAACTAGTGACTTGAAATGGTTCGTGATCCATTTCGCATTTGTGGTTTGCTTTGGATTATTGTAAAGTTTATGCTTTATCAAATTCTTTTCCTTCATCTCATTTTTCACGTGCTTGTTTCATGAATGCGCCACCAGGTGTGGGTAAGAGTTGCCTCCTTTTACGTTTCTCTGATGGATCCTTTACCACCAGCTTCATCACAACTATCGGGTACCTCTGTACATCGCACTGCAGCTTTGTCTTTCACTTTTGCCCAATGTTTGTGTTTTTTTCACTCAGTTGAATTATGGGTTGACAGCATCGACTTTAAGATAAGGACAATAGAGCTGGATGGTAAGAGAATTAAGCTGCAAATATGGGATACCGCTGGACAAGAACGGTTTCGGACAATTACAACTGGTTTGTTTCTGATATGCTCTTGGAATCCATGCTCTTGGCTTTTAAGAATTTGTTTTACTGGCTGCTACTCGTGGATTCTTTGCTTGCTTTCTTGCTTTGATGGTTATGTAGAAATGCTTATCTATTGGATGTATCTTGTTACAGCATACTACCGTGGGGCTATGGGCATTTTACTGGTGTATGATGTCACCGACGAATCATCGTTCAACAGTAACAATTTTCTCTGCTTTTCTTTCGCAGTTTGCTTAGTTATCTAGTTCAGGCCTTATATCACCTACTCTTTGGAACAGTTCTAAGGATTTTCTGCCCCCATCTCTTACAAATTATCTTTGGCTCATATAAATATAGACCTTTGATTTGTTCTGTTGTTTTCTTCTGTGGAAATGGATGGATCCCTCAATGTATAGACATCAGGAATTGGATCCGTAACATTGAGCAGCACGCCTCTGACAATGTCAACAAGATTCTAGTGGGGAACAAGGCTGATATGGATGAAAGCAAAAGAGTCTCTCTCTTTCCCCCCCCCCCCCCCCTTCATGTGATTTGTTTGGTTAATATGTGGTGTAACTTTATTTCTTTTTCAGGCTGTACCAACAGCCAAGGGCCAAGCTCTTGCCGACGAATACGGAATCAAGTTTTTTGAGACTGTACGTAATCGTTGTATCGTTATTGCCATTTGAGATAAAAAAAAAAAGCAGATGTTGATTTGATGAGTTATTCTTTTTACAGAGTGCCAAGACAAACTTGAACGTGGAGGAAGTTTTCTTCTCAATCGGTAGGGATATTAAGCAAAGACTTGCAGATACCGATGCCAGAGCCGAGGTTCGTATTTATGAAACTCCGCCTGTTTGGAAAGCTCAAGTTTTATTCTCAGGACTAATCATCTTATTTGGTAACATTAGCCAATTTAATGCAATGTTTGATTGACTTGTTTTGAGTTCAAGTGAAAGTAGTTGGGATATTGACCGAAAGATGAGTACTCTTACAAACCTTGTTTTCTAGTCGATGGAGAAAAATTAGGATCATTTTCCTCCTAGGGTTGATTCATAGGTGAGATCCATTGATAAGTTAAAAGATTCAACACCCAAATCATTTAACACGAAAGCACATTGAAAGGACAACTAGGCATTGAAAGGGCAGTCCGGTACACAAAGCATTCCTGGGGCAGCAAAACCATAATATCATGTAATCTTTTTTTTTCTCTGTTCATGATCATTCATCCACTGAAGATCTTTATACGAACCTCCATGAAAAAAACCGATGCACTGAAGCAGAAAGAGATATTTCTCTTCCCTTGGGCTGAAACTGAAGCGAACGGGCAAACACAGTGTCGAGCTTTTTTCGTGCCGGAAATCCTCCCCGTCAATGCTGAATCGCCATGCTTGCAGAACCTTAGACCCTGCTCGGTTCCAACAAAACATGATCCTAACGGTGGATTGCAGGCAAATCTTACCTTTGCAAAATATTCTGCAAGAAGCTGCTTTTAGGACTTGAACCTATGATGGCAATGTGATCAAAGTCCATATTTCAATATTCTGTTGTGATGATGGTAACTCAAGCTATTGTTTTGTACAATATTTGCAGCCACAAACAATAAAAATCAACCAAGCCGACCAGGCGGCAGGGACGTCCCAAGCTACGCAAAAATCAGCATGCTGCGGTTCTTAAGGTTGCCCTCTCCCCTCGGGAGAGAAACGAAGAACTACTTCTGCAAAAAAAAAAAAAAAAAGATTTTCCTTCATTTTTCTTACATATGATTTCGATGTTTATGCCTTTCAGATTTCAAATCCCTAACACAATATTCGTCTGTCTTTTTGAGTGTCAACAACACAGATCATCATCATCATCTTCCGTATTTTCTGGATTTGAAACCTGTGGGGGATTCAGAAAATAGAAAAAAGAGAAGGTAGAATCAAAACTTGTTTGCGAAGAGGGTTTTAGATGTTGATTGAATCGAATAACCAATGGGATAATGAAATAGGTAATGGCTTCGCTTTTACTTTTGTCCCGTTAGTGCATATACAAGATGGTGTCTTTTGTCTGGCCTTAGATTTGCTTGTTGGATTTGGTTTTTTATTTATTTTGTCCTTTGGGGCATGCATATATTCTACAAAAATTTCGCTGACTTTTTACATATGGTGTATGACATACCATTTCATATCAAAGATGTGTTTTTTTTTTCATATAGATATATAGATATTATCCCATTTTTCAGGTTTCATACATGAAAGCTGGAACCGAATCATGGTTTGCTATAGTGAAATCTGTAATTGGGGTTTCCAATTCGTGCTATGATAAAGACGAATTACATGTCATGTCACATGACATATCATACATATGCTATAAATAAGTAAATGTCATCTTTATTATCATGCCATGCACTTGGTAATTTTTCACATGTTATTTGCATTTTGATGATTCCATAAATTTAAAAATCAAATCGAATATTTTTTTTTGTTTAAAGTAAAATATCGAATTCAATGATAAGATATTTGATAAGACCCGTGGCTATAATAAGAACATATTTGTTAATTCCACTTCCATGATCGCAGAAACATTCCATTCTTTTGTTTTGTTTTGGTCCCAAATCAAATTCCATAACAAACCCAAATAACCAATTGACTTGAGTCAATCATAAATATCAACTGGTTTTTTCCCCATAATTCAACTAAAAAAAATCATAAAATTAATTAAAATATAGAAAGTCCATGATTGATTCTTTATCACATGAACAATTACAATTTAATGATTATTTTTTCATTTCTAAAGGGATAATAGATGCCACAAAACAGCAAGTTACATCTGATGAAGAAAGCACTAAGAGCAAAAAAAAAAAAAAAGATTTCAAGTGGCAAAACACTCAGACTCGTCAAGACAGAACCGGGTCTGATGTCGAGTCAACAACCACAAACCCCTAAAAAAACAAACAAATTGCCAACAGAAAAAAAAATCATTTGACTACTAGCTACATGATTCTCCACCAATCAGAAATCGCATAATAAATCACTTTAGATTAGTCGTGTTCTCCGAATTTCGCACACATATTCATGTGGCATGTTTGTAATGTTGTATCTTTTCCTATATTTATATTAAAAAAAGTTATTTCACTCTTTTCAAAAGGATTCTTAATATCTTTGCATTATTATATTGTTAACATCATACCGAATCTTTGAAGAATATTACGAGATATATCGTACAATGGAGATCTTATCAAATCCGAAAAATATATATTTAGAAATATTTCTTATTATATCTACTTGACTCTCATCTATTTATATGTTATTTTGAGATTGAATAAAAAATATCATTCCCCAAATTTCTACATATATAACATAAACTTTTTTGTATACAATATATAATGCACCCTCCACCCAATGTATATATTTTGCTAATTTGACTACACAATTTTCTTAACTTAAAGAAAAAAATAAATAGAAATAGAAATAATTTTGGCACATAGATCCATCTATGTACACACCATCATATATATTATATATTTGAGCATTGGTTTCTGTTGTTTTTCAAGGTTATATATTTGTTTAGGGCGAATCACTCAAATATACTAAAAGTGTCGCACCATTTTCTCAAATACACCACAAAAAACATAACACATTAAATTCTCTTCGAAAAGGTCATATTACCCTTAAAGAAACCGTGTAATTATAATTACAATATCATAATTAATTCTAAATACAGTTGCAATTGATTCTAAATACAGTTGCAATTGATTCTAAATGAGGTGGCAAAAAAAATACATATTTCAAATTTAAAAAATAACTATATTTTTTTTAGATCTTTAGTTGTTGTACGATCATAAATACTTCTTTTTTTAGTCGCATACTAGTTATATAACAGTCGCAATAAAGTCGTAAAAAATATGAAAGAAATGTTATTTCGGACCTTTTGAACGAAAAAGTGGTATAAAATTGAAAAAAAGAATTTACTTTTTTTGATGGTGTATCGGAGAAATTGTTACGACTCAAATGGTATATTTGAGTGATTTACCCATTTGTTTATCCAAGTGACTTTTATCTAGTAGGTATTTATTTATTTATTTATCTGTACTTAATTTGTGGTGAACTTTTTTTTATATAATTAATATTTTGGTTCAGATATACAATATATTTTATGCAAAAGGTACAACATATGGTTATCCATATATATAAATATATATGAATGCAGATTTCATCTTTGATATAGCCTTTGCAAATGTCGGCAATGCATCCATGTGGTCGCCCTGGTGTAAATTACTATGCCATTCTTATCATTTCAAATAATTACAACTTGGCCATTATTGTAAATTTACACGATAATAATATATCCATCTCCTTTGAGGTCGGGAAAAGAAAAGATAATAAACGAGCAACTACTTGTAAAATAATCGTTTAAAATTTTGTTTTAATTAGATCTAATTTTACACTCTAAAACGATAAATTTGATTATAGAAAAAGGAGCAGAACAGACAAATAAATAAAATGCCCCTCTCTGAGTTTTTTCAATTAAGTAAAATTATTTTTTACTAATTTTTATAAAATATTCAATTCTAGCTTAAAAATAATGTGTAGCTTTGATTGTGTTGGATATTATATTCATCCAAAAGCATAGTAAGTCCTTTAAAAATATAAAAATCACAATTATTATTAATAATTTTCTTCAAAAAACCAAACAAAATAATTTTAGTTACAAATAAAATAGGAAATGATGATTTTAAGAATGTGGACCTCCCAAAGCATTAGTGTCCAATAATGCATAAAATCAAAAGAAGTGATAAAAAAAAGGAGATTTGGGACACATGAGAAGACGACCATGAAATTTTTTCGTTGGTGCCTTTGACCATTCAATTTATAACTTAATCATTCATATATATATATGTCATGTCACATGACATATCATACATATGCTATAAATAAGTAAATGTAATTTGGAATTTATGGAAATAATTAATTCACCGGTCTCGAAATGATCAAATCCTAACTCTAATCCTATACGAATTTCTCACCGTTCGACATTGAATATGAAAATTAGATTCTCATAATTGTCGATCCAAACTCATTTCAACGTTATAAAATATCTGATTTTTAGATACTCGATTCATAGATTCAGTCATATATCCGAAAATAATTTCTTTCTGACTATTTTAATACTTTTTTCTTTCATTATCAATTTATTGTTATCCGCTTTCGACATTAACTATATACCACAAATATATATATATATATATATATATACTTGAAGATATTATCCAAATTCCAGACGTCATCTTACACTATATCTAAAAATCATTAAACATATTGTTCAAAATCAAAATCTTTTTTTTTTTTTGCGCAGTAGCGAAAAAGGAGATTGAAAAATGGAGTTACAAAGAGACTTATCGTCCCTTTAATAATAGAAAGAATGAAAGAGAATGCAAAAAAAAAAAAAAAAAAAAAAAAAAACAGCATACCCATCTCCCAATTATTTTCCATTTCATTTAATTTCATTCATCACTCTCTTTATATCCTCTAGAGGTTGCACCACACGGAATCTATGCTTTTTCACTTTCAAAATTTTTATAATAATAATCCCCTCCTCTTTTGGCTCTCACAAAGCAAGTTTAAGGTTTTGCTCGACACATTGTATACATACATACATATATATATATATATATATATATATATGTATACGTCATGTATGTGGCTTGGGTTATCTTTAGAAGAGTCCATCCAAACTAGGAAACCCTCGAGATGATGAATATTTTTTTTCATGATTAGAAACCCTATATATATATATATATTATGGAAAAGCGAAACATAGAGTTGGTACATATTTGGACAATGATTCAAGGATCCATAGTTACGGATTTTTCTAAATTATATCCTCTTGTTTTTTTAAGGATAGTGTTCATTGCCATGATTTTAAGCCTGGATGAGCTCAACTTTTTTAAGGAACTTTAGAAAATTGAAACAATTGTGGATGAAAAAATTTTCTTATCGTATTTAAAATCTAAGATATTCTAATCAAATTAAAAAACATAACTATTTTTCAATTAAAATCAAAATTGTGTATCACCATCAAATTAAACTCTATAATTTTATTTTAATTTTTTTATTTGAAATCTCTATTTCCTCTTTTATATATATATATAATATTTTTAGGATATAAAATGCAATCAATTTTAAAAATATTGTTTGGTGTATTCTTTAATAAAGCATATCAGTTGGTTCAAACGAATAAACTTTTTAGGTATATGCGCGTTTTTAAAAAAAAATATTTTGAAGTACCGAGTTTGTATATAAAATGTAAACTATTTTGTTTTGTTAAATATTGCAATATATATATCCAGCAAGAAAGAAAAGAAGAGAGATATACACGAAATTTATATAGACTGGACCCAATTTATACGCAATGTAGGGTCGCCACAAAATTTTGGTAACTGAGTTAACACAAACGACTTGAGAATTAAATGAAATCTTACACATAATTAATCCACAGATAATTATGTGATAAAAACGCACATATATATGTATATATATATGTTATATGGTTCGTTATCCACTAATGTTCTTTTATTTTCTTATTGTCCTTCTAGATGGAGATTAATATATTATGGTGATCAGATCTGATTAATCTAATCAACATGCATTAAGGAATTGTTTGAGAGTGTGGGAAACATACTTAATTATGCACATGTAATCAAAGCACTAATTAGTAGCGTAATTATGATTGCATAATCAATGGTAAGTTTTCGCTAATCTTAATTAAGGGTTCTAAGGAAACAGTATAAGTATGTGAAGAATTCCAATTATATGCTTGCATATGTATGTATGTATGTATGTATGTATGTATGTATGTATGTATGTATGTATGTATGTATGTATGTATGTATGTATGTATGTATGTATGTATGTATGTATGTATGTATGTATGTATGTATGTATGTATGTATGTATGTATGTATGTATGTATGTATGTATGTATGTATGTATGTATGTATGTATGTATGTATGTATGTATGTATGTATGTATGTATGTATGTATGTATGTATGTATGTATGTATGTATGTATGTATGTATGTATGTATGTATGTATGTATGTATGTATGTATGTATGTATGTATGTATGTATGTATGTATGTATGTATGTATGTATGTATGTATGTATGTATGTATGTATGTATGTATGTATGTACGTATGTATGCTACGTACAAGATACTTTTTTAACTATATGCTTTGAGGATAATTACAATTAGATAAAATCTTACCACCCACTATTATATATATAAAAAATGCTTATGTTATTAAAAGTTAATTAAGAAATCAATTAAATAGTTGGAAAATTCATATATTTCAATGATAATTTGGTTAGTATTCAAATAAAAAACGGTTCATTTGTTAATATTAATACCCTACTAAATACAATATATATATATAAAGAAACCCTAGTTCTGATTCTTTAATAGTGAATATTCATAGGGGGGAGTGCAGAATTTTGGATCAGAACTTTCTCTTGATGGGAAATGAATCGATATTCCTTTCCTTTTGGCACAATCAAATCTTATTTTATAAATTTTTATTTTATTTATTTTTTAAATATTAGATAATAACAAAAGCGATTGATTCCACCATAATAGCGAGTGGCTAAATATAAACAGTAGTGGAAAGGCAAACCCCCCGCAACAGTGGCAATTATACGCACTTACGTCAATGATTATTCCACAAAATAAAATAAAAAAATTAAAGTGTAGAATCATAAGAAATTTAAAAATAAATATAAATGAAGGGAAAAAATCGTACCAATAATTATTCCACCAAGACGCATCCGTATATCATTCCTCGTGGTTTTATTTATTTATTTATTGGAAGAGAATGTGATACATCAAAGCACAGAGACCAGAAGTTAGGCAAAAGAACAATGCCATAAACAATAGGGTTTGGTTCAAGAGATTCTTAATTTTGCTAACCGAATGAATCGAATCCTTAACCATCAATCAAATATATATTTAACTAAATTAACATTGGTTTGGTTTTAACTGTAGATTTTTTTTTTTCTAATAGACATAACACAAAAACATATAAGATATGAAAATTAGGCGGACCCATATTTATGACAATGAAGTCCTTTACCTCCATTACTTTTATTAAAAAAAATTAATTTTCTTTATAAATCTTATAAATTTATAAATACCCCATATTAAAATTATATTTGCCCCCTATTTATGGATTTTTCTAGGTGCGTCAGCTATATTGCGTATATCAGAAATAAGTTTGCATTTATAAGTAGATTGGTCACACTGATTAGCAAAAACTAAAAACTGACAGTTTACATTTATACGTATATATATATATTAAAAGGGACAAACATACATACATACATACATATATATATATATATATATATATATATATATATATATGCTGGCACCAATATTAGAAAAATGAAAAACTTTGTTCTTTTTAACCTGACTGTCAATCAAATTATCACCAAAATATATAAAATTTCCCAAACTTTATGCTTAGTATATGGTAATACATGGATTAACCTTTCATTAATTGCTCGTTTGGTGGTGGGGCAAGAAAAGGCGACAAAATTCAAGCCTTTGCCCAAAAAAAAAAAACATAAACCAACAAAAAGCAATAAGAACACATGGTATTTAACCCATTGCTCATATACGCAACAGTGCAAATATTTTACGTCACCCTTATTTTTCCTATATAAAGAGGAAACCGGGGAGCATTATCAACTCATTCAAGAAAACGTTAAACCACTCTCCTCCTTTTGTATAATCAAACAAGGGAGAGAGAGAGAGAGAGAGAGAGAGAGAGAGAGAGAGAGAGTACAATGGAGGAGAGGAAGAAGAAGAGAGGTGAGTGCATGGAGAGGGCGAGGCCATTCATGGCGGTGGTGTTTCTGCAAGTGGGTCTTGCGGGAATGGATATTCTCTCCAAAGCAGTTCTCAACAAAGGGATGAGTAATTACGTCCTCGTCGTCTACCGCCACGCCGTCGCCACCTTCATCATCGCCCCTTTCGCCTTCTACTTCGACAAGTACATACTATATATATATATATATATATATAATTTTCTTTCTTTTTACTTTGAGAGTAAGCAATATCGTACACAATCTGCATATATGATATATATATATACATATATGTTCAACTGATTTCAAGTCATAATATAACGTTATTGGTTCAATTCTCTTATAGGGAATGGTTCATAATTCAGGAACAAAAATAGAACAGTCATCGCCTATGCTATGATATGAAAAATCTAATAACATCTAAGAATATAATTTGTATAATTATCATATGAAAAGCATGTTTGAATAATCGCCTTGGTGATCACTTTAATTGGTTACCATTTTACACGTCCTAATTATGTGTATATACGTTACGTACGTACTATATACTTTCAACGCTTGAATTTGCCTGAATATGAATTTGTACACAAAATTAAAGAATATATGCTGAAAGAACTATTATGATATATTTCATGTAATTGTAAATATTTTTTTATATCTGTATATAATATCTCTCCTTTCTTGGTTTCAAGGTTTGCGTTGTTTATATAATAATCATTTATATGATCATTCAATCTTACGGCAAAGTTTTCTTTTCCCTTCGAAACCCTATTTTTTTTACATTCTCGAGAACTTCAATCTTTATTTATTTATTTATTTATTGTTAAAAAGGCAGTAGTAGTAGACTAGTAGTAGTAACCGTTTGTTTTGAGTTTTGTGGTTTCGTCGTCATGCATGGAACGTGAGCTTTGGGGGCATCATAAGTGTTTCCGTTAATTCTTGAAACTTTTGATTCACTTGTTGTTTTATCTTTATGTACCATCCTTTTTTTTTTTTGTGAGAATATATATAAAAATATGAAGGAATATATTTAATTGATATAATATAATATAACACGACTTCCCTCGTATATGAATAAGATAATATAATATTTATGAACACAAACCAACAAAAATAGATTCAATCGCTTAGATAATTTTATTCAGACATGAAGCTACGAGACCAAACACAGAGATTAGATTCATTTGAGTTTATCATCGTTTCTGTGTGAAACAGGAAAGTGAGGACGAAGATGACAATGAGGATCTTCATACAGATTACTCTTCTCGGCCTACTCGAGTAAATTTTTTTTTCCTGCAAACTCGATGATCTCTTTTCGGGTTCGATATCTGATCGTTCTTTTCAACGTGAATTAGGCCGGTGATTGATCAGAACTTGTACTATCTCGGGATGAAATACACGACTGCCACCTTCGCAGCCGCCATGTACAACGTCCTGCCCGCTATAACATTCGTTCTCGCCTATATCTTCAGGTACATGGCCCGATTCCTCCTCCTCCCTGGGGTTTACCTCTTGTACCTCGGGGAAAAACATAGAATATATGATTTTGATTAGGGGTGAACATTTCGATTTTTAGTTCAAGTTTGATTTTGGTTTTTTTATATTAGATTCGATTTTATATCAGATTTGGTTCGCTTTATGCATAAGCGAACCAACGCCCCTAAATTTGATGAAGATGAAGTAATTTACTAATTTTACTTACTCTTGTGGCTAGACTCGAGAGAGTGAACCTACGGTGCATCAGGAGTGCGGCTAAGATCATCGGGACAGCTGCCACGGTGGCTGGAGCCATGATGATGACGCTCGTGAAGGGTCCGGTTCTCGACCTCTTCTGGACAAAGGGCCCGTCACCGCAACACGACGGAACAGAAGGGACCGATATACATAGCGCGATCAAAGGCGCTGTGTTGATCACTATAGGGTGCTTCAGCTACGCCTGTTTCATGGTTCTACAGGTAAGCAAGGCTTTAAAAAACGTCGAAACATACTTATCGGATGATCGTTTCAAACAACTAGAATATTATTAACCACTTAAAACTTTATTAGACGAGGATGCAAATGAATGAAAATGCCTTATTTTCTTTCAGGCAATCACGTTGAGAACTTACCCGGCCGAGCTCTCTCTCACGGCGTGGATATGCTTGATGGGAACGATCGAGGGAACGGCTCTGGCTCTCGTGATGGAAAAAGGGCATCCGGGCGCTTGGGCAATCGGTTGGGACACCAAACTTCTTACGGCCACCTACAGTGTAAGTATCTTCACCTTCTCACAACACATGATGCAAATTGCATAAAGGCGAACGAAACAAAAAAAAATAAAGAATCGTGTGTATCTATGAATGAAGGGAATCGTATGTTCGGGACTTGCTTATTACATCGGAGGAGTCGTGATGAAAGACAGAGGCCCAGTGTTCGTTACAGCCTTCAATCCGCTCTGCATGGTGATTGTTGCATTCATTTCATCCATCATCTTCGCCGAGCAGATGTACCTCGGAAGGTAAAGCAACGAAAACGGACAAGTTTCATGATCATCAAACAGAAAGACTGATGAAAAGATGTTGTTCTTTTGGCAGGGTTCTCGGTGCAGTGGTTATTTGTGCGGGATTATACTTTGTGATATGGGGTAAAGGCAAAGATTACGAGTATCCGAATGAAGAATCGGCACAACCGAAACTAGAAATGAACGGTAATAGTCTCGATCACGAAGTCATCGCGATCAACGAACAAGAGAGAAATGTCAACACTGAACAAGAACGAAGAAAAACAGTTACAGAAACAGTTTAACTTACAAAGTATCAGATACCATTTTGCATGGAGGATTCACGGTGCGTAGAAGTTTCATCTTTTGTCCAATAATGTTCCGGAGCAACTGTAGAGTCGAATACTAACTGCCCTGAGAGAGGAGAAATAACCATCCAAGAGGAATAGATAGACAAAAAAAAAGGTGATGAAACTATTGGATTCATGCAATACTCAATGAAATAATTACTGCCCTTGATTTGTTTTCCGTACCTGCGGTCTGAAGTTGTTACCTTTGAGTCGGCAAGAAACCCCAGAAACGTAAAATTCTTCCGAAAGTATAAGCTTTTACACTCAAAACTCCCGGAAATCGTTTTCTACAATTCATCCATTCACATTAGAGAGATTAGTGATAACCAATCAGCCGGCCGCCATCAGACTCAAGCCCAAGCCGTGATACATGCATAAAACTTCTGAGCAACGAGAAGAAGATACGGGTTTTACACGGCCTAAAGAATTATACAACAATGAGAGGCTGAAATCTTCTCCATGTTTTCCATGTAGATATCCTATAAAAGTTTGGACAGCTGAATTATAGATGGTTAGCTTGTAACACCGCTGAAGTCAGACTCCATCAGTTAAAACCTTGCAAGGTTTGGAGTCGCTTTCATGACAAAGAGTGAGCATCTCCAAAACACAAACAAGAAAAAGAAACAAATAGAAGATGTAGCGTTTTATATGATAATGCATGAAGATCACTTCATACACAACATGGTAGACAAAAAAGAGATTTCTCCTTTAGTTATGGAGAAGATAATATAAGAACAGTCCCCTGCTTCTGTATCATTATGCCTCAATTTTAAGAGAAAAAGATAAATTTCCATTTCATGCAGTTATCATTGTTGAGTACAGGATCTTGTGAAATTCAACTTATACACAAAAAATTAACGAAGGTAACAGTGTCTTACAACTTAAACAAGATACTTCACAGTATCTTTGGTTTCCTTTCCTTCGTCCTTCCCATAACGCCAGCAATAGACTTTGGGTTGGAAAAAGGATAGAGAAAAACAGATCATTAGATAACTGCAATGGAAAGAATAATCACGGGACCAATACCATCATCACTTATGCTTTGATTCAAGACGCAAGTAAAATATTGCTTTGAACTGAAACAATCAATGAGACCAAAGATAGCTTCTCAGGAACTTCAACAAATTAAGATAAATCAGACAAAATCCATAGACGAATGTCCGTTCATGTAGCAATATGTGGAACCCCCAGCAAAACCCTCCTACCAACACATTACAGTGACTAGTCACAAAGCTTTGACGTAAGACAGAGCGTTTCCCCATCAATCATTCACTTCCCCTAAAGTTTGCCCTATTAAAAAAGATATTCAAATCAAACTCTAGCCCTAAATTCGAAATCTGACTAATTCAGCTCAATGAACATCTATAGAAGTGCGAAATTCAAACAGAAAGGCCGAAGAGTTCCAATAAATTAAAGCGGTAGCAACTAAATCCAGCTAGTTTCAACTCCGCATTGCCAATTGCATCACAAAAACGCTATTCAGACATCAGAAAAAACAACTGCAACCTCACCGAAATCAGTTTGTTGAATTCCAAAGACACAAAACACGACTTTCTGAATCTTGGAACATTAAATTCAGAAAAACACGCACAGAGAGACTCGGAAACACATTTCGATGTCGAAACACCTCTGATCGAAGCACCATTTCCCGCCGGTTGTCGAGGAAGTCTCCCGGCAGAAGAATGATCGGAAACCGCCGGAGATGCAAGGACCAATGCGGAGGGCGTTTCTCAAGCGAATTCGGAAATCACTGCTGTACGGATTAATAACGGGGATCAAAGTTTGCAAGTCATTCCAAAACTTCTCATAAAATGCGGCCCGGCCCATACATAAAAGGTCATTGGGCCTTGAAAATCGTGGCCCTTATATTTTGCAAGATTATATATATCATGTTAAATAAAGAAAAAAAAAGGTATTTGGGCATTTTTTTTAAATTACAATTAATGCGATCCAGAGATATTATACAACAAATATTTTTTGGAAACAAGATAATGGATACCAATCTTGGTGAATATGTTAACCATTTGTATATATACAAACCCAATATATATTTTAAATTTAAAGAGACTTGAACACAATATTAACATTTTTCCCAAAAAAAAAAATCGATAATTTTGATTGGGCCAATTCGGCCCGCTCGCTCACCTGGCCCACCATGTTTTCTCAACCCTTAGATTATCCACGTGTCGCTCAGCCACACCGTCTGCAAAATCTCCACGTGTATCTTTACAATTGGGTATTTGAAGGAGAAGCGAAAAAGGAATTTCACGAAGCAAACGGTACAAGTCTAGGCTTAGTGCCTATACAGCTTTGTGCCCGAGAGATCAGAAAGAGCTCTTCGGCTTGAACTTTGGCCACACATTTCTTGATAACCGGATTATTTCTCCGGTTTAGATGATCCTTAACCAAATCAATTTGAACTGAAAATAACGAGTAAACCGGTCGGTGGTCGGAGAATCTCGATTCCCCTCTCACGTACATCATCTGTTTCAACCCGTCACCTTTCCATAGTATTCGATCGCACCTGAAGTATAGAAACATAACAAAACGTTATGTCATGGTCATCCATCATATGTTGATATTATCATTCTTTTTCCAAATTTACGTCACAATATTGAAGTTACAAAAAGAAGAAAAAGATCGTGAAATACTCTTTAATATATCCGAATATATATTAAAATCATCCATGGAACTAGGGTTTATAGTCCTTGGAAATATAGAGAAAGATATTGTAAGCTTACCAAGCTGGAATTCTGCGTTTGTCCTTCGATTTCGACGTATGAACGACGTAATCGTCCGAGCCCGTTGTATATTTATACGTCGGTGCAAAACATATCGTCCCTTCTTTCCACCCTTTAAATATTCTTCCGGCTCTCTGCTCTATCTTTAGCTGCATATGCAATTCATATATGTACTTATGAATAAAATCGATAGTTTCATTACATCATTCTTGTTTATAAATTCGATTTAACTCACCTGATCTTTCTCTAAAAGTGATTCCCAATCATTTTTCTTGAGCAATTCATGGACGTCGCCGCCACTCGCCCTTAACCGATAATTCAGATCTCCAAGCCATATTACCTTGCTGTTTTTTGGACACAGATAAAACCACCAAGATTAGAAATAAAATCTCTCTAACGTACTAAGTATATAACAATAATAACCTATAGAATTCGACTAAGTACTACTTACTCGTGATTCATTATTGTCTCGGGTCCTAAATCTTTACAAGAACGAGAAAATCTTGTCCTCTTCAGTATTTCCATCACGTCCGAGTTTCTTCTAAATTCGTCGCCTTCTCTTTCTCCAGATGTCAAATGTGTACAAACAAAACATAAACTGGTTTGGTGCAATGACATGCTAATAGATATCGAACCCTACAAGAGAATTTAAAAACAAATCAAGAATATGGTCAGTATACTGTTATATACTCCTATGAATCAAAGTTGTATCGATTGAATCATGTGTGAAATCGGTAATATAATATACCTTATTCCCGAGATATCCCATGATGCCACGACCGACGCATGAAACCTTGAGGTTGGTAATATGTTTACAAAGATCATCTCTAACCCAAACACACAAAAAAATCCCCACCATTTGCTTACTAGCTGCAAGGCAATAGCGGCGAGGGGCTTGATTGTTCGAAATGAAACTTTCGGGGCTTTGTGAAGTTTCATCGTGAAGATCAGGGTCCGAGCGCAAAAATCTTTCGGAATTCTCTTTGACTAGTTCATCCTCCCTTGAGAGCAAGTCGCAGAAGCTGAATTGGGGTTGCGATGAAGATTTCATAAATTTTGGGGGGAGTTTCTGATTTCTAAGAAGTTCGGGGTCGTTTTGGGATAAATTGTTGTTGTTGTTGTTGCTCAAGGCTTGACGAATCAGAGATAGCCACTTGGCAGCCGGCCCGTTGTCTTCGGCTCCTAGAACGTTGCCGGCGTTCAAGGGCACAATTTCTTGAAACCTAAGAAAACAAAATCATAAATTATATTAATATTTCGTCCAACTCTCTTTACATAAGACAAATTATCACGACATGAAAACAAATTAAATAAGAAATAGGAATACTATATATATATTCTAAATTGACAATTTCAACAATATTTTTTCTTCCACACAATAAGTCAACAACATTTGAATTATATACATATATAAGGGTTTAACCCTAAATATTTTTCTAGGTTTCTGGATACGAATTGGTTGTTGTTCGTAAAGGTAATTCGACGATAAAATTAGGACTCTGGATAACGTCTAATATATTTTTTTATTGATATCTATATAATTATAATTACATATTGTCTACATATACATACACAAAACATATGTAATATTTACATTATTATTTTATGGGAAAAGAGATGTCATACCCGAGAACGTAAATGTCGGCCGGTGCTGGAGATTTCAGACATTCTTTTAAGTTCAATCCTTCATGTGGCGACTTCCCTCCCACGTTCCATGTCCCCACGAACATTCTATCTCATTTCCAAAAAACGATAAAAATATGTGTAAGAACACCCTTCACAAAAATGGTTTGGAGATTTAAATAATTACTGTTTTTATGATTATTACTTGAGATCGAGTTTATCATCGCCACGTGGCACATCCGGTTCACCCTTGTATTGTTCTATATCTCCATTTTCTTCCGTCGACCACCCTATTATAAACCCCAAAAAAAGACAACACAGTTAATTACGAGATGTATGATAAATAAAAAATAAAAATCAAAACTGGTGAAAGAGCAAGTACACCTAAACTGAAGACTTTTAATAGGTGGCGAAACATGATGATCTCCCACCGTACACGTGGCTGACAGATCTCGAACCAAATCTTATCAGTCTCCTTTTCAACCAAACCCGAAACTAAAAGTAGAAGCAAATCTCAGTTCCCTTTTACTTTTGTTTCCCCCGTCGGACTAATCATAGATGTCTAAATCCGACGGCTGTTAAAGACTCCAGTTAGATCGTACGGACGCTGACCCATTTCAGTACGGACTCATGACACGACGCCGTTTCAATATCCAAAAATGTTATTATTTCAATTTATTATTATTTACCCGGAAAACCCTCCGCCGCGATCACGTCGGAGCAACTCTTTCTCATCGGCTCTACTATCCCTGGAAAACAAAAACGCCGGTTAAGTCGCCGGAATATTCCAGACGGCGCGAGTTCAGGACACGAGAAGCGGAAACGGCATGTAAGTCGTCGGAATAAGGAGACGGCACGAATTCTGAACATAAGAAGCCGAAACGGCAGGAGAGTCTCACCTCTAACGGCGTAATCGGAGTGAAATTCGTAGGCACCGCTCCGTAGGTTCAGCCACTTCCTCACGACGGTTCTCGGCCATGACGGCTGAAAAAAAAAGAAGGGAAAACCCACATGAAGACCACGCTGTTTTTTTTACCCACGAAGGCAAAAAAAACGACAGGCAGTTCAACCGCACACCTTGGACTTGAAGTTCTTCTTCCCCATGTTTCCGGAATCGAACGCTCTGCCGTTTTCTCTCCACCGTTGTCGAGATTATGACGACCGATCGGAATCTGGATTTCAAGAGAGGCAACGAGAATATTAATACGAGGTTCAAGAATATAATTAAATAAAATAACTAAAAAACAATTAGTTGTCGGGACAAGAAAATTTAGTAGAAAAACAGAAGATGCCATCTTATAAATGGATAAGAAGTTAAGAACAGTACGAATGATGAAATTCGGGATATTTAAAAGACCTAGTTGCAGGGAGATCATACAAAAACAAGAACTGAAATTAAAAGAACGTAAATAAAACATTTAGGCAACAAAAAAAAAAAGAGGCATCATGTCGGAATAAAATACGTGTAATTAAGAATAGGAAAATGACATGTTCTTCCTTTTTGTAGATCGAAAGAAAGGCTTTTGGATTAAGCCAGCGAACTTGCCTTTACAGAGAGGAAGACAGAGTGGATGGAACATATAGACTTATAGTTATATATATATATATATATATATATATATATAAAAAATTCGAAGTTTCTAATTTTTTCCCCACATTTTTGTGGATGTGAAATATATAAATCTGGATCGACCCATCAAGAAAAGTTTTGATTTTTATCATTGTTTTTTCCCCCTAAATTGTTGAACTTAGCTTCGAGACAGATAGCAGGGAAAAGGAAAGGGATGAAGAAAAAATATCTGTTAAAAAAAAGCCAACCTGATAAAAAGAGAGTTGGGAAATCAGTCCAGGATGATAGATACAATATACATACATACACACACATATATATTGGTTATATGTATGTATGTATATAAGGATGTGTGTACGGACGCGTGATGCAGATTAAAAGAACCCATTCTGTGACAGAGAAAGGCGATAATGAGATCTTCATAATTGAAGAAGATAAACCCTTTTGTTCCGTTTATTTTTTTTCTTTCTTTTTGTGGAGCGGTGTTGGAGGAGATTGTAAAGAAACAGAGCTTTCATGGAGAAATCAAGAGAGAAAACGAACCAGAAGACACTTGGAACAGTCAAACGAAGACATTGGTGAATTCATACAATATTGATCAGAAACACGAACAGTGTTGTCCGAAAACGACATCGTAAAGGAACAATTCGAAGATTACAGACTCAAGCAGGTTGCAATAATTGCAGAGAATGGCCAGAGAGAGAGACATAAAGATCGAAGCTTTGAAAACGAAAACAGGAGGAAGTGGATGAAAAAGCTATACTTACATGATTGTAAGTGAATAGAGAAAATGGAGAGGGGCCCCTTTCAATTTTCTCTGATCTTTCGTTTTCCCTGATTTTTTCTTGTTTGGGGGGGAGAGAAAATGGTCCGAGAAAATGTGGAAGACGGAGAAGAGACGTTGCACGATGATACGACGACGTTTTTGGAGGAGGCGTTGCTTCGTAGACTAATACCCAAATGGTCGGTCTCTTTGATGGATTTATAAGGAAAGGTGAGGAGGTGTGTGTGTGAGACTAATTGGACCAATATATCAGTGTTTTTTATTTGAAACTTTTTGATAGAGAATTTAATATTTAATTTATCTAATGATACTACCTAAGTTTATAAAAACGTGGAGAGGAATGAATTGATGGTTAAATCATAATATAATAGTGATAGAGTTGTTTAACTATTCAGGTTCTAGAACAATATATATATATATATATATGTGTGTGTGTGTGTGTGTGTTAATATCCATTTCAAGTTGCTTTTCTTTTTAAATTTTGGGTTTCATGGAGAACCTATGGTTCACCATTTTTGCATTTCAAAGTCATATATATATATATATATATATATATATATATATAATAATTTGGTCAATGTCCAAATCTCTCCCGTGAATCCATCCGCTTGTATGGTTGACTTGTTGAAACAGGTTCGAGCTTCCAATTAAGCCCACTGTTTAAATCATAATATTATATTTTTATTTGTTTCACATTTATATTTTATATATTTGGGATTAAAAACTATGGTTAAGAACGACAAAGTCAATTAAAATCATAAATTCGATTTTATTGGTGGAAAAAAAAAATGCAACACAAAGAATTACGTGATAAAAGGTTAATTCCAGATATAAAAATATTAAGTAGGTCGAAGGTCTACTAGTTATAAAAAAAGACCATCTTATATATATATATATTGATATTTTAGTAGTATATAATCCCTTAACCATAACTAGCAATTGATATTTTCAATTATATTTTGACATTTTAGTATATAGATATATAATTAGAGCTGGTGTATATTTTCAAAAACAAAATAATAGTCGTGCTCGAAAATTCAGTCTGAAACTAAATACTCTATTTTGTCAATTTGATAGAATCTCGGTAACTAAATTCGGATTTAATTACGATGTCTAGTTTTGGAACATAACCTTATTTTGTTTTATTTTACAGATAATGATGAATACTACAGAATGGGCTCATTATTACCCAATTAATTGGATTAATAAATTGAATTTTAATTGAGGCCCATTGAATATACATTGTTCTAACTAGGGTTTTGGGTTTTGTATAAATTATATTTTATTTTAGATTTCATAGCCAACACCTTGAACTCATCTTATTCTCTATTGTTAAATCTCAATGAATAAAGACACATTTGAAACCATATTTGCCTCTTGTACCAAAGGATATGCATGTGGGATGGAATGTCTAACACATGTATCAATTAGAATTAGAATTTGTTGACCCTAAGTTGCCAAAAATAAAAATAAAAAAACAACAAAGGTTGCAACAAGTTTGAGCTTCATTCTACCTAAGTAAATATGATATACAAATTACCTATTAATATATATATAGATAGATGTATGTATAATATCATATTTGTTATATATTATTAAATAGAAAATTAAACACTAAATTATTGTGCACTGTCATGTTATTTTGTGAACAATTAATTAAATATGTATCAAATGATTTTTTTTATCTAAATATTATTGTTTTATAGACAATTAAGTAACATATATATATATAAAAATATATATAATACAACAATATATGTACAAACAACTTTTTATTTAATATTTAACTGTTCATAAAATATGATATTGTACGAATTTTATACATAAATAATTTAGTATTTAATTTTCTGTTCAATAATATACAACAAATATATGCATCTATGTATATATTTTGATATAGGTAACTATTAAATTTTAATTGATATTCAAATGGTTAATAAGATATAAAATAAAAAATATATGTAATATTATTATATTTAGGTAATCTCTCAACGACAACGATGACTTTCAAATGTCTCTTACTCGCTCAGATTTGACGATAAGATAAACTAATCATAATCGATGATGAAATAATTTCACTATGAATGAATTGTCTGTATATTACAAAAAAATAATAATAATCAAAGAACGTGGATATTTTCAAAGTATAAAACAATCAAAGACTTAGAGAAAAAAAAGGATACTAACTAACAAATTTCATATCGATCTTTGGAACCAAAGCCTTGCCAAAAACATATTCAAGATCGTTCTCTAATGGAGTCAAATTCAAATCCAAAGAGAATACCCTCTTGCTACTATTGCATCGCTTCAGAACATGCTTTCCATGAACCGTCGGATAAAGGGTTCGTGCCGGTGGCTCGGTCACAAGGGCCCGTGGCTCGGACAAGAGGGTCGTTCTGTGTCGTCTCATATGACCACCTAAGGCTTGTCCCGACCCGAATGACTGTCCACATATGGAACACTCGTGTCTCTGTTTATCGTTGTTGATATGCTTCTTTGTCTGTTGTTCTTGGTCTTGGTCACTGCTTTCCGATCTTGGCCTCTTATTGTGACTCGCTCGATGCCCTCCTAGCGCTTGGAAAGATTGAAACTTTCTATTACATGTTTTGCATTCGAAATGGTTTGTGTTTTCATATGTGACGGACCGGTCTGTAACCATTTTCGGCTCGGTGGCTGCAAATGTCCGAGATAACATCATAAGACATTTCGCGATATCTAGAGGTTTGGCTGTTTTTTCAAATGATTCGGATCTTTCTCTCCTCATCATGTTCGGTAAAAAAACTAATTGAAACACGAAATAATGATTAGGGTTTTTTTGGGTTTGGTTTGGTTTGAAAGGAAGGAAAAAAAATCGAGAAAGAGGTGAAGAGATTGTAATGAAGATTGCTTACGAGCTTGCATGGTATTTATAATGGTAACAAAGCTTCGGAAATTTGACTTTTTCCCGTTGACCGAAATAAGTCGGCGAAAGTTCCTAACACATATGACCGTTATACATTATACAAATGCACTAGTACTGCTGCGTGCTTTTGACTTGGACAAATAAGAATACCGATATTACCCTTATATATCGTTCGGACGGTGTATATTAAGTCCTATAAAGCATGGGCAATTCCGTCATTTGTGGATTGGTTGAATGAGAGTCACGTCGGTCGCTATAGGTGAGCTGTAATAATATCATATAGTTTTTTTTTTGGTAATTTCTAATGGATAAATGTGAATCGAGAGTAGAATTACAGTCAACAAAATGCAGTAATGGTCTGCAAGTTGGTTTATTTACTAAATTTGCGTATGGATGGCAACCACCAATTAAGTATATATGGTCGTAGTTTAGATTCACTTGTCTATATATCTAAATAAGTTTCTAAACAAGTAGGCCATATTATATTATAACTTATTGGGTTTATGGCACCGATTCACTCGTGTTCATAGATAATATTTCTTAGATTTCCTAGTTCTTACCTAATATTATAATAATAAATCCAAACTAAATAGAAAGTATAATAGTATTTAAATTTTATATAAACTAAAACTTTTTTATTTTCAATAATGTGCTATTTGATGAGATTTTCTTAAAAAATATTTTTTTATACATTCATTCTTGAATAGCATAAATCTTTAGGTGAAAAACCAATCGAGGTATTTTTTTCGTGTTGAGTTTAAAATTCGTAAATTTATATATTTATTATTAATTTTTTTGTATTCTCTTGAAACCATAAACTTAATTGCTAAATAGTTTTCTCCATTAAAAAAATATTAGCCCTAGAACCAAAAAAAAAAAAAAAAACTTTCTTGTAATTTATAGCGAATGAAGTTATAAATTGAAGTTAACAAAAAAAAAGAAGTTATAAATTGAAAAATGAGTTGCACACGTGATTTAATCGCCAACTACGCAATAACATGCGGGAGGCTAAATAAAATAGAACGTCCAATATGTAAGGAAAGTCAAAATCTAACTATATATGTATACAGATATATATACACACACGGTCCAACTGTATGTGCATCTGCGCATATATACATACATCTTTTCACGTCATGAGTGATGAAGTCGTGGCCACGATATAATCTTCCAATTATTTAGTCAAAGCAGCACGTTGAAAAGCGTTATAAAAGTCAAAATACGTGGCGGGTTTGCTTTATTTTGACTTTATATTATATTTTGTTTCATGAACAAACAGGGCGGCTAAACCGGATTCGGTACGGTAAGAAACATAAATATTTACGTAACCAAGCATTCGGTCGGTCCAATTTCAAGCAAATGCCATTTCACAGTGGACGGAATCCTAGTTAAGTCGAAAAAATTGAATTTCTTGTATGATGAGAAACCGATATAATTTGGTTAACGATAAACATCTAAACCAATTTGATATGGGAAAATCTGTCTGTTTCTTCCACTAAACCGGTGGTACAAAGTACAAACGGTCAACAACATAGGCTGCTATTTGTGAACCGGTTTAAACCGGTTCAATCGGTTTGGTCAACCAATCATAGCTCCCAAAACCGATCCTACTTCTAACCATACGTAATCCATGACAACACCTCTTCATTTATCTCAGATTTCTACAGAAGGGAGCATTTTCTTCCTACTTTCTTCCTCAGAGTTCAGACTCATTAGTTAATGAGCTAAAATGTTATACTATGATTACCTTGAGACAAAAAAGCTTGAAGCTTTTGTCTGAATTCTTAGGTCAAAACTCAGTTAACTTCCAAGAATGGAGTTCTGTTGGCTCCTCCTTCTTGACCCATTTTCGTGGAAATCTTCTCAGAAACGTTGTAATCTTCGTTAAGATTCTTCGAAAATGAACTTCTCATATCCTCAATCGATGCCAAGCTCGGAACAGTTATTACCCGTCTCTTCGGTGTTTCCTTCTTGTTTTGATCAACCTGGTCATATAATAAAAGACTCGATCTTATAATTAAGACAGTTTTCTCAATCTTCTCAGTTAGAGCTTTGAAGGGATTGGAGGGCTAACCAGATAGTCTTTGATGAGAGACTGTTCTGCTATGTTTCTGATATTTGATATGCCTTCTCCGTGATTCTCTTGCAACGACACAATCTGTTTCATGCAAGTTTCTGTCATGGTGTCGCTTATCTCCTTGTTCTCGCAGTCTTCCATAAGAGATTCTGCCAAAACAAACAGCAGTTTTTCTTCTGTTAGAACGTTTTTTTTTTTTGCAGTTTTCATGTGGAAGATCATGATTCTGAGTGTTACCCTTTACAGTTTTCTGAAGTTCATCGGTTCTAGCAACTAAGTAAGTGTCCATTGAAGAAAATCCGGATGAAAATTCGTCGTGCAGGCTCTTATCTGCTTCAATTGCATCCCTATCAAAGTGAGGATAGGAAGATTCAGCATGAGAACGTAAAAGTAAAGAAAGTAGCACATATATATATAGAGTGAGAATGTCACTTACTCTGTTGTGCCTTTAAGTTCTTGCAGCCCCTTTGCATTAAGATTCTGTATTCCTGTATGAGTATTCTTCAATAACTCTTCAGACTCATCAACTCTTCCCATGCTGCAAAAGTCAGTGGAAAAAGACGGGTTCTTACATAAGAAAAGACAGATTATGAAGACAGTTCGGTTCGAATCAATGAGAGATAAGATTGTGTACCATTCTTGGATGTAATTCTCCATGACTGTCCTTGATTCAGCAGATGATACCATATTCTCCATGAAATGATTTCCGGCTTTCATAACATAGTCAGACAAGTCCTTATTGGCATGAACCGACACTTTCTGCATTTCAGACATCTGTTCCAGCAATCTCTTTTTCTCTTGAATCTCGTGTTCTTGGATATTCCGTGATGCTTCAGAAACCTACAGACATGTAGAATGTTAACCAATAATATGAATTCACTGGAAGGAAGAGGTTTTATAAATCAGATTGAAGACTAACCATTGCAGTTTTCTTTGAGGTTAGCTTTGATAATATCATGGAGATATCTTCTAATGCTTGTTTCTCCTCTCTTTCAGCCTCTTCCTGTGTAGTAAGAGAGCATGATGAGTTTTCATGTAAACCCTTTGCACAAATCTAGTTTAAGTTTCAAGAAATGTCAAGAAACTTACCCTAAACATCATCTCGAAATCAGAAAGCTTTCTTGACTTTTCTGCATGGCTTGCTTTGGAAATCTCCATAACCTCGTGAGCTTGGTCATAGATGTTATTCAAAAAGGCTGAGGTTACGCTGGAAATTTCTTGTGCAGATCGCATGCTTTGCAATAATCCCTGGATAGTTAAAAATAGAGGTGAAATTTTCAGACATGTTACGAGAAATCATCATCTAAATTCATCTAATTACTCACCTGCTCTTGTTGTTTTGCAGCAAGAGCTAAGAGCTCCTTCTGCTCATTAAGAGAGTTCCAAATGTCTTGGGTGACTTTAGCAGCTTCCATGGCCGATGCAATCAGAAACTGTGAAGAGAAGAGTATTTGATAATGACCAGAGAAATTTCGTTAAGGCGAAAAATAAGTGAGCATTTTCATTGATTTCTTGTTTGTACTTACTTCCTCCACAACCTCTGTTTGAGAAACAACAATGGAGTTTATCTTCTCCATGTTAGAGGATGCTTTCTTTCGTAGCGTTTCAGCAAGTTCCTTCAAGGCTGCTACTCCAAAAGTGTAAGCATCCGTTGTTTTCTTGATTTTTGATTCAAGAACTCGTGTTGCCTGATGCGTGTAAATGCAAGTATGATCCAAAGTTCCAAAGAAAAAAAAGGAAAGTACGAAGAAAAAGAGATCTCTCGAGAGTAAATGAGACGGTATCTTCTTTGCTTACATCATATTTGCGGGCAAGAAATGAACGGGTATGTTCTTCCATGCTTGTCAATTGCTGCTGTTGCTGAGAAATTGATCCAAGGACAGTTCTGTGCAAATCTTTCAGGTTATGATCAAGTTGTGAACCAAGCTTCAGAAGCTTGTTCTGGTTTTCTGATTCCATTTTGTCCTTTTGGTCTACAGAATTGAAAGAACACATTTGAAAAAAGCTCGGGAAGTACGATTTCCAATCCTATACGTGGTAACTTGGAGATTACCTAATCTGGCAAACAATGAAGTTATATCGTCTGATGCATGTTGTAGCTCAGAACATAACCCTTTGGCCCGGTCGATCAATGAGATTTCTGTCATTAGTTAAAAAAGAAGAAGAAGAAGATAATCAAGAAACAAGAACAAAGAATGAAGAGGGATTTGATTTCTTCATGGATTAGGATTGTTACCAGAGGATTTCATTCTGGAGATGATGACTTCCCTCTCAGTCAACTTTAAGACAAGTTCCTTGTAATTCTCTTCGAGATCAAGCAACTCCTTGTTACTATTATCAAGGTTTCTCTACATAAAGGATGATGAATTTGAAAGAACATTCTCATAGGTAGTTGAAAGAAAAGTCTCAAGAAAAGAAAGCAGAACCTGTAAAATTTCATAATTACCTTACAATCTTTAAGCTCACTTTCTGTGTCCAGTAACTTCTCTTGTTCAGACAGATAAAGGTCACGGAACTTAGAACATTCCTGCATAAAACAGGAATCAACATAACTTCGAAGGAAGAAAATTCATTTGGAGCTTATTAGAGATGGGGACATGAAAAAGGTGAAGGATACGTACTCTTTCACTCAGGTCTAGATTATTCTCCAGTTGTTCCACCCTCTCGATTCTTGCCTTGAAGATGTTGAAATCATCGAAGAAAGATTTAAATGAGTAGTATTTTATAATGTATACAAGTAAAGCTAGTTAAAAGGCATGAACTTTGTAAGAGATATTTATACATCAAGATGTTCATACCTTCTTTTCAGCTTCTTCCTGAACAAATCTTTCTTGTGGGATGTAAACACCATTTCTATCCCTTGCAGCTCTAACATCTGCAATAACGGTAAAAAGACAATAACAATATGTTCACTATATCGAGTCGTACGTATGAAAGACAAGAGAAAAGACTGTTCTTCAGACCTTCTCTCATTCTCTCAATCTCCAAGTACAGATCTTTAAGCAACACGGCCTTCGAGAACTTCTGGTTTGCCTGCGTAGATAAGAGATTAGATTAGAAGGATGGTGAATATGAGAGATTAAATTAGCAGAACGAACTAACCTCGGGTTTGTTCTTGATGTTCTTGGCACGATGAGCATAATCCAGGGTGCTTAGAGTTTCTTCCAGGGAATGAGCAGAAGGAGAAATCGTGGCAATGATACAAGTTTTTGTCTTTCCTCCAAGAGAATCTCGTAAAAGCCTCGTCAGCTTACTATCCCTGCAAAAGGAAGGATTGAGGAGACAACGAGCCATGAAAATGATTCAGACACACGAGTTATCATCATGACAAGGACATAACTAAGGGATAGACAGTGGAAACCTGTAGGGAACGTGTGGAGAATGTTCCACGAGTGCATTTATAACACGGCCTAAGGTGAGTAAGCTCTTGTTTATTTCTCCTGCTTCTCTTGCACGTCCCTGCAATTTTCAATCCATGGCTTTTATTTAATCTTTGATATGGCATTTTTTCAGAGTAAAGCTGATTTCTCTAGATTCAGACATGTTGGTTTCAGCTCTGGTGCTTATCTAAAAACAAGCTCTAAGCACAACTGAAGGAGAAGAGCCATTTATCTAAATATTACTTACATCCCGAGAGCCCGAACGTAAAATATTCTCAGATCCTGCAAGATCCACAAGATTAAGCTTGCCACATTTAATCAGTTCTTCATCTCCCACTGCCTCTTCTTTTATGTGGACAGTGATTGTGAATACTGAATGAGAGCGACTACAAACCAGACGAATAAACAACATTAGAAACTCTATGATGTGAAGTACCATCCGGACATTTCTAATGAGAATTTCAGAAAGAAAACCTGCTTCTCTTGTTCAGCAAGGTATCAGCCGTACGCCTTTTTGCAGCCCCTCGTTCCAAAAGTGCATAGATATCGTTAGCACTGTATACAACTTCTTCTTCGAGGCCCCTCACTACCACACAACCCTTCCCATCCTCCATCAGAGAAATGGGTTTCTTCTGTTTATCCTCCATAAGTCTTGAATTGTCGTCTGGAGCTAACAAATCTGTAATCTCTTCATTGTAAAGCTCCAAAAACGTTACTTTCATACTGTAATCAGCATTTTGGGCCTCAAGGGTATCGAAAATATGTCGAACTGCTCTTGGAATCACCCCAGCCTCCGCAGGCAAATCCCCACCCTATGTTTGAGACAACAACTCCAAATGACACTATCAGACAGCAGGAAATCAGACAATCAGAGTGGAAGATTCAGAGTCGAAAAGATTATTATGTGTACCTTTTTCCTCATCCCACCCTCCATCGTGTAAGTCTTGCCGGTTCCTGTCTGCCCATATGCAAACACAGTGCAACTAAAACCTTCCAGGATTTCATGGACAATCGGTGCAATAGCTTGATCATAAATTGCTCGTTGTTGCGCCTTAGGGCCAAAAACCTTTAATCATCAAGAGGGTTTCAGTCCAAACATATTACTAATCGGATAGACAAACATGTCGGGACAGTCTGTTCATTCCTATTACCTTGTCAAAAGTGAAAAACCGGTCAACTTGCTTGTTTGCCGCGCTGTGAAGAACAGTCACTTCCTTCTTCTGTTCATTGCAAGATATCACTCTCGGGACATTTGATTTCTGCTCCTCATCACTCAGCGGCCTGCATATAGTAGTGAACAAGCAATCTCGTAAAACATGGCTCACAGTCTGAATCATTCAAAACCCTTAGAAACATCATACAAGAAACGTGGAACTGAATAAGTAGTTTGTGGAAATCCATCCATACCTGCATCTTAGAAGAACTTGGACATTGACCTCTTTTTCTTTGTCTTTGTCGAGACGAGTAGGGTTAGAATCGAGACGTCTTCTCTCGGGGCGAGGGGTGAAGAATGGGGCAGGAGAAGGGCTCACACCGAGAGCACTTTTTCTCGTAACCTCTGGAGTAAGCGACATTGATCTTTAAGGTTCCTAGATCAGAAATCCCTAATCAATCAAATCATGAGTGCGTTTCATAATTCAAAAGGGTTTTCAAATCTGACGATTTTTTCTTGTTAAAGGTTCACCCAAGGTGTAATCTGACGAATTTCCAGAGAAAAAAGAACATAATCTTTCCATCTCTGCATCTAAGTACCAACAACCCAGTATTTCCCTAAGAGAGCTAAATCATCGAGAAACTTTCTCAGGAAAAAAAAGTAGAAATCTCCGAGCAGCATGAGTAAAGACAAGGAAGATTCGATCAAATATGTCTACTGGGAATCGAAATACACAGCCATGAAAGAGATCATCAGAAGATTCAAAGTCTGAATCTCATGAAGGTCGTCGACATTCAACTTTCTCCCGGAAAGCAAGCGTAAAGGGTGGAAATTTACTCACTCAAAGGAACGCCAAAGCAGAGGCAAATCTCTGAACAGGAACCCTAGATCCACGCAAGGGATTTCCGAATCTGGGAACGAAAAAACACGACTTTTCGAATCTAACTGTTCTGGGTTTACTTCTCCTACGTTTCGAGTGTTGAAACTCTGAGAGAGAATTTGAAAAAAATGAAATGGAGGAAGAAAGAGAAACGTTAGGATCCTTTTCTTCTACTCCTAGTCCTTGGAGCGTAGTAGCCGTTGGAGTCTGAATTAGGTGGGACCCACAAGTTTCAAAAGTGGACAAAAAGTTTGAATGTGGAAAAATTATAAGATGAAAAGAAAGATTCGGAGGATTGGGCGGATGAAATTTTTTTTTTAAAAATTGATTCCACTTAAATGTAATATCCAAAAACTTCATTGCTAAACAATAAATTGTAGGATTTTTCATATTCATCCTAATTATTTTATTTATTTTTACTTTTCTCTTAATTATTATTTTTAAAAAACTTAGCTTTATAAAATATCTGGTTGATTTTGCCGATCTTTTAAGATTTTTTAATTTTGACAAAGATTTAAAAAAAGATCCATATGATTGGTGAAAAAATCAGGGTAAATTTTTATATCCAATGTGAGAAGATTTATGTCTATTATTACCAAATCCAGCAATAAATATAAAATTATTTGAACGGTATCCAAAATTCAAAACATTCAAATTCTTCTAGATGGGATATAACATAAATTATCATTGCACATAGTTTCAATAAGGTAATTTGGTTCGTCACTAAATAATTGAACTAATCCAAACTCGAAACAAATAACATATAACCTTAAACAAATCGAATATATAATGATTAGAACACAATGATTATGTTTTTTTAAAACAATTTAAATCGAATCCAACAAAAAATAATCAAAAAATAAAAAATATCTTAAAAAATGAATAATTTTAAACCGAATTTAATCGAGTTTAATATAAAAATCGAATAATTATAGTTTATTTAAAACTACAATAACCGAATTTAAATATAACCGAACGGAATCGAGAAACTTGACATCCCTACAAAAGAAGGAAAAAAAGAAGAAGTGGGTTGAGATTGAGTAATGTATTGGCACAGCTCCACAAAGCAAAATGCATGAGATGGATACAATGAAAAAGCTTCAAGCTTTATAGTTCATGAGAGAAGAATTACAAAAGAACAGACTAAAAAGACAACATGGCAAAGCCAGGAGACTTGAACACAGACAAGATTAGAGTGGAGCTGCTCCAAAGAAGGCAACCTCTGCAGGACCAGACATGTATATATGGTTGTCTTCCTCCTTCCACTCTATCTCCAATGGCCCTCCTGGTAGATCCACCCTGCATTTCTGTTTTCCACCCGCGACAACAACAGAAAAAACCCATCGCCATAAACCCGTGTATCTAAATATCGAGTTGTGCTGTTTATATATAACCTCGCAATTCAGATTTCGGGGAAGTTTTGTCAGGGTGAATAAGATGTTTCATTGTTCATCTCAGTCACCAGAGTTCACTACCTAGGGATCTCTACATAGTTCCTACCAATGGTGGTTTTTGAGAAATTTCCAGTGTTTCTATAACGTTATGTATGTGCATATGTATACACACGTGGCGCGGCAGTTACTCCTCATATAATGTCTTCAACTATGTTTTTGTATACAAGTTTTTGTGTATCTTCTTCGGTGGAAATTCATGTAATCTAAGGAAGAATATACTATTTGGGAGATGGTATCAGATTGTTATTCTAGTTAACGTCAAGCATAGATGCTTTCGAATGTGAAATTCCAAACTTACCCGGTCAGCACGACCCTCGAGAACTGCTGCCACAACCACAGCACAAGCTCCAGTTCCGCAGGCCAAAGTCGCTCCTGCAGTTTATCGGGAAGCTTATAAGCATATAAGGATACAATGTGATGTTTAAAATTTAAAGAGAGGCATGGACTGGAAAGTTGGAAAATTTCAGGGGATTCAGACCTGCCCCACGCTCCCACACACGCATTTTCAAATGAGAACGCGAGAAGACTTCCACAAATTCTGCGGATCAAATTAAAAGAAGCAAAACTGTAAGATGGACTTCGAGACAAGAACCCAACATGACACAGAAGATGTGTTTAGGATCTGTCAGTGAAACCTCGAAAGAATCTGTGGATGAATATCCATCCACTTACCTGTGTTAGTCCGAGCTGGAAACACTTCATGGTGCTCAAACTTTGGACCAATCTCCAGCAAGTTCAATTCATCAACTTTCAGATTCTGGTTTAGACAAAGAAAAATCCCACATAAGTAAAGAAAAACTTTCAGATTCCCATGCATATATCAAAATTACAACATTACATTTCTCCATATAGGAAAAACCTCTCCTTTTGATTCCGATAGGAAAATTTGAATGAATAGACCAACAACCACGCACCTGAGCTCCAGTGGTGCCGAATGTGACACAGTGAGGATTTCCCATGCTAACACACGTCGCGTTCCAGCATACTCCATCAACAACTAGCTCCGCCTTAACAACAGAATCACCTTTGTTTCCTGGCAACTTTGTTGGTACATCTTGTGCTCTAAGGATCGGTTCACCCATATCAACTTTAACCTGTAGTCGGATAAATCAGGATCCAGTAAGCACCTTGTGAACAATGACACTCTGAAAGAAAGTGCCAAATCTCTTTACCTAGTGATTCACTTATCGTCTAAACCCATGAATGAAAACATCCTAAGACACAAGGAGAATCATCTATTCAAATGATGTACCTGCCCATCTTCTTGGATTTCCGGAATGATAAGGCCAGCACCAGTCTGTACCGTAAAACTGCCAAACCCAGAAAACAATAAAATCAAGAGAATTACAACCAGCATGAAAAGATTCAGAAAACTCAAACTGGAGCGGAGTTTCAGACATATCTATTACCTATGCTTTCCTTGTAAGTTTTCAAGCTCAGCGATGAATTTGGCAAAGCATCGAACACCGTTGCCACACATCTAAAGGAACAAAAACACAATTGCATATAGCTCCGATTCATCAACTCAAACCAATATTGATAAATCGAAAATGGCACAGAAACGAGAGTCACCTCTGGTTCACTACCATCGGAGTTGAAAATCCGCATGGTGTAATCAGTGCCATTGATCCCCGGCATCACGAAGATTACTCCATCGCCACCAACACCAAAGTTCCGATCGCAAAGCTTCACCGCCTGCTCCTGGGTAACCTTAGGCTCCGAAGAATCCCTATTATCAACCTAATCCAAAACCAACACAAAATCCCAAAACTTTCTCGCAATCAACCGTGATTTCTTGTGTCTGAGTACAATATTCATCGATTTCCGTATCTAACGTTCGTTCTATTCCCAAATTGGTAGTACAGCAGAGTATGTAAGAAAAATGATCGGGAACCAAACAGGGGACGAAACGATGTACCATGATGAAATCGTTGCCGAGGCCATGGTACTTGACGAAATGAAGAACTCCAGATTCCTTCTGATGAAGGAAAGATGCCGGAGAGATTTTCTCCGGAGCCACGGTGCTCATGGAAGCTGCGGAAATGCGAAGGCTACGGTTTCGGACACCATATGTTGATCCGAATTGACCAAACCGAAGAGACGAAGACGAAGAAGCTGCGGTCCTGGTGAGAGACAACCTGCGCAATTCCGGCGCGATGGAGATTGAGGTTGCGGCGGCTTTCGCCATGGCTGCTTCAGCTTTTCACCACAGCTTCGAACCCTCAGAAATTTGTCTAAAGGGAAAATTTCGTGCTGTTTTTATATTTCGAAAATGGAATCCTCGTCGTTTTTTCTTAAATTGGGACAATCTGATTTTAATCCCGAGGATGAAAAAACATTTGATTTGGTCTCTAATCTAAAATGATTTTCTAGTCTCCATAGAATGGAAAAAATACTGTGAAATCCAACTTTTATAATAAAAAAAACGTTTTTTTTTCGTTTTGCTATTATAATTATGTAATGAAACATTCCAAATTGCATGATTAAAAATGGTTAGATGGTGGTGATTATTTTTAAAAAAACAATTTATAGTATCCAAGTACATAATTGGGCGAGTAGAGAATATCCAAAATTATACAATAGTGATATTTTTATTTATTTATTGTGGTTATTACATTGTGTATAAAAACTATCTAAATAAATGCATAATAAATATAGAATAATGCTAATAGCATAAATCCTATCAAAGTATAGGTTGTTATCAAATTTGAACTCTTTGGAGTCCTTAATAGAATTTTAAGCAACAAATTCTGAAGATTTCTTTTCATTTTGTGTTGGTTTCTTACAAATTGGCGAAGAGTTTTCTCTGTAACTCTTAATGGAACTGAATCAATGATTTCACGATTCATCTATAGGAACAAACATTCAGTACAAGAAGTCATCATCAATGGCGGAAATAAACGGATCAAACTCACTCAAGTGCTCAACCAAAACCTTCAAGACTCCATAAATCTCACCTTTGAGCTCCTTGTTCTTATCAGCAGTGACAAAGACACGAACCTTACCTCTGAGTTCGATCCAACTACATCCCGGAACACGAACCATACCCTTTTCCTTCATCTCCCTCCTAATATCCGACACCTTATGCCATCTCCCTGCAACAGAGTGGGCATTCGAGAGCATAAGAAACGATGAAACGTCTCTCGGATCTAGTTCTATGATCTTCGAAGCCGCTAGTTCGCTCAAAGGGTTGTTTGAATGGATCTGACATCCACCCAGTAATGCCTTCCAGAACCCGATTCCCGGGTCGAATGGCAAATTATGGATAAACTCTTCTGCTTCCTTGAACCGCCCTGACCTTGAGAGCATGTCCACCAAACAAGCATAATGCTCGGGTTTTACTGAGTTGGGATCATCTTTTACAGCTTTCTTGAAGTAGAAACAACCCTTGTCCACCAGACCGGAGTGGTTACAAGCAAACAACAGTCCTAGAAGAGTGACCCTGTTGGGTTTTAGGTTTGATTGTTTGTTGACTCTCTCGAAAATGGCTACAGCCTCGCTTCCTCTTCCGTTGTGGGCGTATCCCCAGATTATGGAGTTCCATGATACAACGTTACGTTCTTGTAGCTTAGTGAAAACCAGTAGGCTATCTTCCATGTTTCCGCATCTTGCATATAAGCTAATCAGAGAATTCCCGACAAAGACATTAAGCCGCTGTCCTAAGAACTTGATTGCACAAGCGTGAAAGCTCTTCCCTGTTCCATGGGAAGGTATATTGGACACTGCGGTTATCGCACAAGGGAATGTGGATTCATTAGGCACCATACCTTCCCTTAACATCTCTACGAACAAATTCACAGCTTCTTCATTTCGTCCGGTTTGGCTACACCCGCCAATCATTGCATTCCACGAAACCACATTCTTCTCGGCCAATTCCCCAAACAATAAAAGAGCTTCCTCAAAGTTGTTATCTTTAAGATACCCACTAATCAAATTAGTTCTTGAAACCACATTCGGCTCATGGGTGTCCTGAAACGCCTTCCGAGCTTCTTCTAACGAGGCAAGCTTGACATAACAGTTCAGAACTGAGCTTCCGACAAACACATTCGAAGACATACCCATCTTCAACGCACAAGCGTGGAGCTGCCTGCTCAATTTGGCATCCCTCAGTAATGTGGACGAACCGATCACTGTGCCAAATGTGAACTCATTTGGTCTGATACCCAGATGAAAAAATCTTTTGAAGAGACATATCGCTTCCTCATGTCGGTTTTGCTTCATGAAGCTGCCGATCGCTGCCGTAGCAGAAACGACATCCATCTCGGGAATTTCGTCAAACACTTGGTGGGCATGGCGGATTCGATCCGATTCCTCAAACTCGGGATTCTCGGAGAGGAAATTCCATGATTGAACAACATGGGAATTGGCGAAAACATTAAAACTTCGTACGATGATTCTCGAGACACCCCTCCTGCAAGACAAATTCATAGGCCGACAATGGCTGTCTTTATCGGTGGTTCCCTCCGAGATGGCTCTGGCTCCTCTTACGACAGCAAAAATGGACAAAAAAAAAGAAGTTATTGGGCCTATCAAAGGCCCATTATATCCGTTCCGAGATGGAAGTTATTGGGCCTATAATAGGCTCATTAGGAAGCTGTGAAAAAGCGAATAAAGCGCGTCGTCATAATTACTCCAATATTTATATCCGTATATTATATAGTTTATTTATCCAGAAGCAATAAACTCTACCGGGGCCCACGAGCTAACCCTAGTTAAGAAACTAAACCACCTTCTCGAGTTAAGCAGATTCACGGTTAGATTTTAAGCTCCATATCTTCTATACCTTTTTCCAATTCTCCGAAGATAGATAGATCCCCCAAATTTGAAGATTGTTAGGGTTTCGAATTTACGAATCTTATCTCTTATTCGATTCGAATTCATCCCCCTCAAAATCTCCCTTCTCCTTTTCCATATCCGTGTTTGGATTTCGGCTGTGGGTTCGCATTTATAAGCCTTATGCAAACCTGTGGGTATCGTGAGAAAGGTAATTCGATCGTGATGAACTTGGAAACTCAACGGATTGTTGAATTTCCCCATAATAATGCCGATAATCGGCCGAGGAAACGGCCGAGATTAGCTTGGGATGCGGCGCCGATTCTTCCTCTACCTAAGGTATGAGTTCTCTGTATTTGTTAGTATATATGTGTATTAACGCCGAATGCGCTGTTCTTTTGTTTTGGGTTTTCTTTTTCGGCGTATGATCCTTGTAAATTCTCTGTAATTTTTTCCGTATATATGTGTATTAATGGCAAAAGAGCTTTTTTTGTGGCTTTCGCTTGTGATCCATGGGAATATGATTTTGCTGATTGTTTATCTGTTCTATCTTGCTTGGCTTTCAAATTGTGTGGTGATTCGGTTTAGTTTTCGTGCTTTTGTTGGTATTACAAATGTAGTATATCGTTCTTATTATCTACCATGTCCGTATGATCGAGGGAGTGGCTTTGGCTTCAGATTTTGTTTTCTTGTTCTGATTGGGAAGCTGAACATTTATACTGTTTTTTTTTTGCTATCCTTTCAGGTACTTCTACCTCCAGTATATTACTGTCCGGAGTTTGCGAGTGGAGCAATTCCCAGCTATGTTTACACAAACATGTTCTATGGTGGCTTTCCTCGTCATGGCTCTCCTCCATGGAGGCCAGATGATAAAGATGGCCATTACGTCTTTGTGATCGGAGAGACTTTGACTCCACGATGTGAGTCTTATGTTTTGAAGTATATGAACCATTTAGGTTTAGTTTAGAAGCATCCTCAGAAAATTATCCTACTTTGTCATGTAGAAGCCCATGGTTCGCTTATATGGTTGTTCTGTTGTGCTTGCAGATCAGATTCTCAGCAAAATGGGTGAAGGTTGGTTCTGTCTTCCTTATGAGTGTTTACTATCCTTGTGATTGGTACATCTTGCTTGCTTTCTGTTCAGCAAATTTATGTGCTTTTATTCAAAGGTAATAACTTTTCCTTATGCCAATGTACAGGTAAAAGAAGTCTCTTAGTTTGGTGGTATCTTTTGGGTAAAATCGATACTTTAGGTTTAATCCGTCCCTTTTCCATCTTTGGGTTTTATTGTGACAGGTACGTTTGGGCAAGTATTGGAATGTTTTGATAATAAAAACAAAGACGTGGTGGCTATTAAAGTCATACGGTCTATTAACAAGTACCGTGAAGCTGCAATGATAGAGATCGACGTGCTGCAAAGGCTTGCAAGGCATGATATCGGTGGCACTCGGTAAGAACATTTCTTTCTTCTTGCTGTTTTCTTTCTTAGCGTTAAATTTATGGCATTTGGTATAAGTTTTTTAATTCTTTGCAGTTGTGTGCAAATACGGAATTGGTTTGACTATCGTAATCATATATGTATTGTAAGTATTGTTGTTACTCTTATTCGATAAATTTGAAGGGCTGGTCAATTTCCTTCATGTCCGAATATTCTGTGAGTTAAAAGAACTTGCGGATGGATTTAAATGATTTCAACAGGTATTTGAGAAGCTTGGACCAAGCTTATATGATTTTCTCCGCAAAAACAACTACCGTTCATTTCCCATTGACCTTGTCCGGGAGCTTGCCAGACAACTTTTGGAGTCTGTAGCATGTGTGTGGACTATTCTTGCTCCATTCTTCTATATAGTTTTGTCCATTGATGTCATAATCGATCTATTTTAATATGAGATTTGGGCACCAAAATTTATTACTTCATGTCCACTTTTTAAGTTAGCAGTCCATATGGGATCTAAGTTGCTAAGACCCTAAGATGGTCATTTTAATACTTTGCCTGACACGTTGACTCATACTTTTTTTCTTCATTTGATGCTCACAGTTATGCACGATTTACGGCTGATTCACACTGATCTGAAGCCAGAGAACATTCTTCTAGTTTCACCAGAATACGTCAAAGTGCCTGATTATAAGGTGATTAACCATCATCTCCATGTTGCACTCTTCCTAACTCGAGTTCTGTATGACAAGATTGGTTTTTCTTTCCCTCACTGTCCTGAAAATCCAGTTTCTGTCACGATCCACAAAAGACGGCTCCTACTTCAAGAATCTACCCAAATCAAGTGCCATCAAGCTCATTGATTTTGGAAGCACAACATTTGAGCATCAGGATCACAGTTACATTGTATCAACCAGACATTACCGTGCACCAGAAGTTATCTTGGGTAAACAATTATGACTTGAACAACATATGAGATGATATTGTGTACGGTGTTAATATTTTCGGGATATTGTGCAGGTATTGGATGGAATTATCCATGTGATTTATGGAGTGTGGGTTGCATACTCGTTGAACTTTGCTCGGTAACTTTTTTTTACGTATTTACATGTCAACTTTACAGACATTATGGCAGACCATGCATGATTTCAAACGTTACTTCTGGATAAACCATGAACAGGGAGAGGCACTTTTCCAGACACACGAGAACTTAGAGCATTTGGCTATGATGGAAAGGGTACTTGGACCATTACCAGCACATATGGTGCTTAGAGCCGAGTAAGAATGCACCATATATCTTCCTATCAGCGCTCGGATACTTTGTCAGTCCGTTGCTGCATTTAAAACATGAACTGTGATAATAATTTCGGTTTCACCCTTCTTTTCAGCCGTCGGGCCGAGAAATACTTCAGGCGAGGTGGCAAGTTAGATTGGCCAGAAGGTGCAACATCAAGAGAAAGCTTAAAAGCAGTCTGGAAACTTCCCCGGTTGCCGGTAATTTCTCAGAAATGACTTGACATACCTTTCTATCTCAATGGCTAACTTTTTATACTTTTTTAACCTGGACTGAACTGAAAGCACCATTTCCTTGGAAATGAGTTTGGATTGCAGAGTCTGATAATGCATCATGCAATTATCAGATCCTGCAATTCCCTCTGGGCACTTTCAACTTAAAAGCATCATTTTGGGAAATGGGTTTGGATATTGCAGAACCTGATAATGCAGCATGTGGATCATTCGGCGGGGGATTTGATAGATCTGATACAAGGGCTGCTTCGATATGATCCGACAGAGAGGATAAAGGCAAGAGAAGCATTGAGCCATCCATTCTTCACCAGAGGCAGGGATCATGGTATTCCGTACAATCCCAACCCTCATCCATTTCTATATAACCAATACCACAAGAACTGAGTTCGAACACACAAAGGAAGAAACAAACAGCAGATGATGTTTGGATAAATCTGCAGTTTGTTTCTGCGTTTTTTTCTCTTCACCCTCCTTTTTGGGTCTTGTAGTAGATCTATATTTAATGTATAGAAATGAAGAAAGAGAGGTTTGTGCCTTTTTTTTTATTTTTTTCTTTTTTCTGTGTATTTTCCGACCACGTCGGCGGTGGTTTGACGGCGGTTTCAGAGGGGATTAAAGTCACACCTCAAATTCGTAGTTTTTTTTTTTTTGTTTGTGTTGATGGGTTTCTTCTACCTTCGACTGATCAAATGGAAATCGTACGGAATACGGATTCCGTACGGAGGCTTGTTCTCTTTGGGGAAAAGGGTAAATGTTTCTGATTTTTAAAATTAAAAATGTTATTTTAGAGGTTCCAATTATACATCTAATTATCTTAATATTTTAATCCACTGGAAATCACATTAAGTTCCATTATCGTTTGACAATTGTAGGTCGGGTTGGAAATCGCTAAACAGTTTTGGTATTTGGCATATGAATTTCATATATTTTGATTTTGAAGTTAAATTTTTTGTCAAATTAAAAAATCTGTGTAATATTGGTATATTTTGATAAATTTGTGTAGGTTTTTGGTGGTTATGGTTTTTAAGTTGAAGATATCTAAATGTCTTTTTAACACCTCACTCCAACGGAGACTAAATTTCAGGTTTTTGGGCCTTTAATTTCTTAGCCCATTTATCCTATTAAAGGCCCATTATTTTCATAGCCCAAAACGACAGCGTTTTCCTGTACAAAACAAATTCCGAGCAAACGACGGTATATTCTCGAAGAGCTTTTCTTTTTCTTCTTCATCATCACTCGGACACTGGGGGGTTTTTAGGGTTTATCCATCTCCTCCTCTCTTCGCAATCATGGGGTCTCTAGGGCAATTACAAATCCATCACCAACCATTTCACCTCTCGCTCAGTCACGGCTCCTCGTCATTCCCAAAAACCTTGTCTTCGTGTTCCTTCAGATCCTTGCACCGTTCGACCTCCTCGCTCAAGTGTTCCTCCATCAGTGCTTCATCGTCCAAACCCCAAAACCCTAGGTTTCATGTCTTGAAATCTCTCCCTTCACGCCTCCTCAAATCCACCTGCATCACCTTCACCGCCGCCGCTGCGTTGTTCTTCGTGAATCTCCAGCTCAAACCGCCCGCGTTCGCGGCTCCGTTCGCGGCGCCGTCGGTGGAATCTATGAAGCAGACGAAGGAAGATGTTTCGTTGGAGGAAGGAGAGAGAGCGATTGAGGAACACCTTGCCAGTCACCCCACGGATGTGGATGCTCTACGGTCGTTGATGGAGGTGAGGATAAAATCTAAGAAGCTTGTAGAAGCAATAGAGGTGATTGATCGTTTGATTGAATTGGAACCCGATGAGAAGGAATGGCCTGTGTTGAAGGCTAATATCTTTAGCTACAGTGGGGATTTGGAATCGGCCAAACAAGGGTTTGAAGAGATTCTGGAGAAGGACCCTCTTCGTGTTGAAGCCTATCATGGTCTGGTAATGGCGTATTCTGATTCGGGTAGGGATTTGAAAGAGGTGGAGAAGAGAATTCAGGAAGCGATGGAGGAATGCAAGAAAGAGAAGAATCTCAAGGATTTCAGGGATTTCAAGCTGCTTGTTGCCCAAATTCGGGTCATCGAAGGGAAGCATAATGAAGCATTGAAGCTCTATCAGGAGCTTGTGAAGGAGGAACCAAGAGATTTCCGACCATATCTCTGTCAGGGGATCATATACACATTGCTGAAGAAGAAGGACGAGGCCGAGAAACAGTTTGACAAGTTTCGGAAACTTGTCCCGAGGAACCACCCTTACAGAGAATATTTCATGGATAACATGGTGGCAACAAAGCTTTTCGCAGAGAAGGCGGAAAGGGAGATGGCTGGATCAAAGAGCTGAGAGTGTGCCAACTGAACAAGGTGAAGAATGCTGCTATTGGTTCCAAAGATGTGATTTTGTCTGAGTTCATGCTTGATGGTTTTAAATTGTTGTCTGATTTTGAATTTGTAGGTAGTTGAAGTATGGCAATCGAAATAAAGATTGTGTTTTTAGGATAAGTTGGACGAGTTATATGAGATAATCCATGCCTAGTTTGATGTCATTGCAGTTCTTGAAATCTATATATGATAGGATCGTTTTACATTTCATGATAATTTGCATTGAGTTTAGCTGGTTTGGTACAGTTTTGTTCTTTATGCCAGAGGGATGATAGAATTTAGGGTTCTAACTTTTTTCGATCGGATTTCCCGTATTTAGGGTACGTTTCTTCCTGCAACTTTGATCAAACGTTTCCTCTGGTGTTTTAATTTGAGGAAGAACTTAGCCTCCTATAGAGTAGAGGACTTGTTGTGCCACCCTTTAGGCGACTAGAGACTCCTGAAGACAGATTCTCCTCCCCATTGGTTGAAATTCAGGTACCCGTAGATATCCGACCTTTCACGGGTGCGGGACCTTTTTTTTTATTATCCGTTCAACGGGTACAGATTACATTTACGAGTGACTAGAAATCGATGATAGGTATCCTGATACATTTTGACGGGCACCCGTGTACATTTGAATTTTCAGTATTTACCTTTTTGTCTTCCGGAATAGCGGCTCGGATGCGTTGGGTATAAAACGTCACACTCAAACATTGGATTCTCAGAAGAAGTTTACATCAAACTTTTTTGTGGTACTCTCTCTCTCTCTCTCAAAGTTATTTGGAGCTTGAATGAAATATGGCGTAAAGTGTTTGTCCCGTTCCGAATTCGAATTCCAAATTTTAGAAGGGTATTCACGTGTGCTTCCCGATCTTTAGAATTAGTCTGGATCTTAGAACAGAATACCTAGATCCCTAGAATTGGTTTCGACCCTAGACAAGAATATCTAGTTACCAACAAAATCTTACATCAATAAAGAGAGCATTCATCCTGTAGATGCCGTGAGACTGTGGTTTTCAAGAGAATTTAATGTTTCTCTCATTTGCCATACACTCACTCACTCACTGGACCACTTTCACAAATAAGATATGGTCGCTTCTTTAGGTGTAAGTGCTTGAATGCTTTCTTCATTCCTTCTCCTTCACGTCCTCTGAACCGACGATCTATACCATCCGACTAAACCGGCTTCCGAACCGAGGTTTCGGTTCTCCTGTACCGGAAATTATGGATTTCATGCTCTGAATCACAACTCAAAACTCAAGTTTCATTTTTTTTATTATTAAAATTAAAATTTTATGTGTCGAAAGAATAGAAAGCGACAGGAAGAGTAATTACATACAAACATGCCAGTTAACCACAAGGTATGAGTAGCTACTGAAATTATTACAAAATTAACATAAAAAGGTTAATTTGGACCATTTATCACATAATCTTCAAGGTACACATGCGATATGGTCGACACAAAAAAACTATACATGAATATATATTTTTTGTATATATATAGAGAGAATAATAGAAACTAGGAATAATAGAAACTATGGTGGATACGGGTCGGATATCTGAAAAAATCGAGATATTTGGATTTGGGTCCGGAAGGCTCTGGGTATTTAATTATAAGATTTGTATCCGGAATTTGAGATTTACGATGATATGGAGTATGCGTATCCGGAATAATGGCCGGGTACTCATAGGTATGCGTATCTGAATTTATTTAAGAAAAAACAAACATATTTATATATATAATTTTAAAAAAATAAAGATATATTTATAAAAATGGATGAATTACTATAAAAATATTTGATGATAAGAGATAAATAATAATAAATTTAATTTTTTTTAGATAATATTAAAAAATATGAAATTATTTAACCTACAACAGTTATATTTTATAAAAATTTGGATTCAAATTTACGGATATTGAAAAATTCGGATTTGGATTTAGATTTGAAAATTACGAATACCCTAAAATCGGGTATCAGCGAGACGAATATCCGACGGATACCCGATTTTCGGGTATTTGTACCCATCCCTAATAGAAACTGTATGCATATAGTTCAGTATGTTACTTTATGTAATGAAATGATATATATTTCTCAATAATATTAGGGTTTCTTAGAAGCCATAGATCCGTTGATTTTGAGTCGGGAGTAATCCTGTGTAGGTCAAGGCATCTGCTTTACCTCTTCTACTTTTTCCTTTTCATAATATTTAAATGCCAATTTTGAAAATGGTCATTAATTCTTTTTTGACTTACAAACGTTATTTAATGTTTATATAATGAATGCATGTGTTTCTTATATTTTCGTATGATTTCACATGCAAAACGAGTGTGAGGAAGGACATGGTGATGTAAGAGAACTGAAAACATATATTGTTTTGGTTTACTTCTAAAATTAAAATGTGGTATACAAATTATAGGTGATTTTATTATATGGTTTACAATGCGACCGACTCTATAAAATCAAGAGCAACATTATATCGTGTTAACTTTGCATGTGTGCAGTAGACATATAATATATGATCCTCGAGAACATAGCAGTGTTCAAGAGAGAAAAAAAATCCCATAAATCAAGGGAGGGGAGAAAATATAATATATTCAAAGTTAAAGATTCACTTTTGGCTTTTTTGTGTTTGTTCTTTTGTGATTTGTATTTATTGAATAAAACATATATCTATTTTTTATTACATTTTTTCATGTCTCATCCCTTTAGTCTTTTCTAGGAGGATCAGTGTTATGAACTTAATTAATAAAAGGTACGTGATATATAATAAAGTAATATTTTGCATACATATGGCATTATTTTTATTTAACAAAATAATAAAAATAACATTAACCTGGTTTTCTAGTCTCCGCAATCTGCATGTGGTCATGTCTTCGCTGTTATTAATCGGCTTAAATAATATTTTTTCTAATCAAATTATAATAATAATAATGAAGATAACAATTACGTACGAAAATGGTATTTATTATAAAAATTAAAGTAAACTCATTTAATTGTCGGATGAAACAAACGTTTATTTGCATACGCATCAGATGATTAATGTATTTAGTCGTCAAGTAAAATGTTACTGTTATGAGCTTTTCGAGCGACGCATCAGATGATTATTTAGCTTGAAGGCAAACAAAATCTCGAGCAGTGTTGCCAAATGACAATTTTATATATATATATATATATCTGTGTGTGATTAAAATTATAATTTATAAAATTTAATACTTAACTAAATAGCGAGACGAGTCAATGACAGGAAAGCAGTTAAATCAAGTTCAACGATATGCCTAACATAATCTTTCATTAGAAGATAACTAGAAAGGGACTTGGAATATATATATAGGGTTAATTAACTTTAATATAAATCGTACAATATGGTCGATTATATATATATATATATATATATAATTGTTTCTAAACAATTCTAGAATCGACGCATTTACAATTGAATAAAGATACAGTTCGTGTTGGATATTTTTATTTTGTTTGAAGATTATCATAATAAACATTCCTGCACATACAATCTGTTTTGTATGAGATGTGATCTATGGATATACATAGTAATCGATTTATAGATAAATATTGGATATAATTTTAAAAAAATATGTATACTTTCCCATAATTGACTAATGTTATAAAACGTCAAAAATAAAAGATTATGCCATTGATTTAATTGACACTTGATGCAATCAAATAAAAAAATATGCATGGAAGGTTGTGTTTAATTAATAAATTAGTAATCTTCAGTAATCAGGATTTCTGCCTTAATCATTAATATTTTAAATGCTAAATCCAGATATAAGATAATAATATCTTACAAGGATTATTAGATACAACCTTCCATTTTTTTTATTAATATTCGCAAGATATTCATTGAATTTTAGTCAGTAATATGTTAAATACATGATATAATATAATTAAATGTTTTTCCTAACCAAAAATATTAAATAATCCATTACAAAAATATATACGACCAAAACCTCTCATGGTTATTTGGTGAATAGACAACCATCCAATAAACTGATATCAAAATTTACTTTTAGTTAAGATAATAACAACAAGACAGTACAAATTTAAAAATATAAGGAAAATAATTTGGAATATGTATATATATATATACAAACTAAACTTATATATATTCAAAGATAAGTATATAAACTAAAATGAGTTAGATATTGTGTGTGTGTATATATATATATATATGTTGACAGAATTTAACTCATTGATGGTTGATTGAGGTCGACAAAATTGACAAGAAAATCTCAATACAATTGTCAAGTGGGACCCATCAATTGAAGAGAATCAAATGAAATATATTATATAAACGATAATAAATCGATGTGATGGAAACTTATATACATATATATATACGTGTATATATATATATATATATATATATATATGCATGCATAATACATTTGCTCCACACAATAGATGTATTCACTTTCGGAGGAAAAAAATGATATCCAACATACCACAAAATAAAAAAAAATAAAAAAAACTAATCATATCCACAAATTATCACTAGAAAAAAAAACTAATACACATCAGCAAAGTAAAAAACGACTAATTTCTTAATTAGATAACCTATTTAAGATAATTATATCATATCGTTATATTGATAATTTTAAAAAACTTATGCGTATACAAATAATCAGGTAAACGATATAATTTTTTTCCCTGAAGTATAAAATGTAGACACAAAATTATAAATAAATGTTTCTTAAAAAAAAAGTAAAAAAGAATGTTTTGAGTTAACATAAAAAAAAAGGGTCGAAGCAGAGAGACAAGTGGCAGCGGATCACGGACGCACAGTACCAAACACGCACCTCTCGCCTCCCTCTCTCTCTCCTTAATTTGTTTTTTGGAAAATTATTTAATTCAATATATTCATTATTCAGTTCCATTTTTTTGTTGTGAAAAAAAATATATATTCGTTTTTTAGATTTTTATTTCCGTTTTTTTGAACTTTCAAAATCTCCGCAAGCCCCAAAGCATTCTCTCTCTCCCCGACGGCTCTTCTTCTTGTTACTCTCCGTCCTCGTCATCTGCTTCTCTCTCTCTCTCTCTCTCTCTCTCTCTCCGTAATCACTTGTGCTCTTTTCTGGGTTTTCTTCGTTCGTCTAGATCTCTCTGCGATTTGTTTTTTTCTTCTTCCTGTTTTGGCTTTTTTCCTTCTCCGCGAGTTCTAAGCGGAGAGAATCATGTGCATTTTCTTTATCTTGACTCGTTCTCGGTCATGATTTCTCGGAAACCTCGTCTAATTTTCTCCGCGCGTGCAAATTTTCCATGATTCCCGATCTATGGTTTTCTACCCCATGCCTCTCTCCTCCAGAGAATGTCAAATGTTTCTCTCCGATTTCGAGTGAGTGAACCATGGATGCATTTCATCCGGCTGATCTAAGTTCGCGCGATCGATTTGGTTCCGCGGTACCCAGCTCTCGTGCAGGTTAAAATTTATTCCTTACCCTTTCTATACCCTGTTTGGTTGCCGAGAAAATGAAGGATATCGAGGGTTTGATGAGTTGATTCTGTTCCACCGGAGCAGATTTCGGGAGGATACATCGTAGCACCCGATTTCAGTGTGGAAAATTTTGAGAATAAAATAATAGGTTTCCAACTTTTTTCCGGATAAATAAATAAATGGCTTTCCTGGAGATTCTGAAATTTTCTCAGCTACCAAACAAATCATCTACTGATCTTTTTCTACTTCGGGTTGTTTGAAAAAAAAATGTCATGTTTTTTGGTAATGTAGTTCCTCAATTTCCTAAACTGTTAGGAGTACCTACAATGTTTTCTCTCTCAATTTAATGTTTGAAACAAAGTTATGGAGACAAGGGGAAAAGGCATTTGCTTTGAGAGGAAAAAGAAAAGAAAAAAACATTGGGTTATCTGTTTCTTCTTTGTGCAAAGCTACAGCTGAAACGGTCGGTAGAAGAAGATGTGATGTTTTGTTGTGTTTTTTTTTTTTATGATTAAAGAAGAAAGAAATCTTAAGGGACTCATTTCATTTGTTTGGTGGAGTAATGATTTGGTTTTGGTTAATGATTGCTTTCAGACAGGGTGATGTTAAATTACATGTAATGATGAGTGCTCTTAACCTTGTTCTCTCCCACAGTTTGTGCTAAGTTTTCCTCTTTTTTGTCTCCCAAATTGTGATTTTCCCCGCAAAAGTCGTTTGCTTTATCAATCATTCAACATAAGCCCTGAAAACCCTCGATCCCAGAGAGTCTAGGAATTTCGATGGGGGAAAGAATTTTACTGTGCGATTTGGGGATTTGGCGTTATGGGTTAAAACCCTTTTGTCAAAAGTTTAAGACTTTTGTTCTGATCTGAATGTTGTTATCCATTTTCAGGGAAGAGACAGGTTAAGAAACTCAAGTCTCCGAGGTGTTCTTCTGACTCCATCTCTTACAGCTGTGACCCTTTGGTTGAAGACACGGTATGTGTGCATATACTCTTCAAGATTAACACACTTAAAGCACCACACATAGATACATATATGCAATGTATTGATTTGCAAATTTGATGGGATTGTTGGCTTAAGTGGAGTGAACTCTTGGCATTTTGTAGTTGGCATTTGATCTCCGTTGGGCATCTGCTCACACTATTGTGGGGAAACCGATGAAAAGTTTGTTGGCGCAAGAAATGTCGAAGCAAAATGAATCTAAAAGGAAATCACCCAGCATTATAGCGAGGCTGATGGGTCTCGATGGGCTGCCATCTCAGAGTTCTTCCCACAAACAACGCAAGCCAATGGAGAATCAGCAATGCAGGACGAGAGCATCCGAGAAAGATCTTGGAGGCAGTGCTTATAATGGTGACAGATCTTTTAGGAAGGGATCGAAGGAAGAGGGTGAATTCAAAGATGTATTTGAAGTTCTAGATTCAAAGAAGGTGGAGAGCGGTAGAAACTTGTATCAGGGAAGGAGTAATTCTAGTCTCACTGAGGCGGAGATGGTGTTTATACGTCAGAAGTTCATGGAGGCTAAACGTCTATCTACTGATGAGAAACTCCGTCATTCCAAAGAGTTCAATGATGCCATCGAGGCTCTGGACTCTAACAAGGACCTCTTGTTGAAGTTTCTTCAGCACCCAGATTCATTATTCACAAGACATTTACATGATCTTCAAAGCATTACTCACAAACCTCTCTCCAGCCAAGTACCATCTCTGAAGTCTACCAATGGCCCAAACACCGTGGATAGAATCAAAACCCAGAAAGCTGATAGAGAATTGTTATGGAAGAGTCACAGGGTGCGTGATGGTGGTGGTGGTGGTAGTCCTAGCCATTCTCGTGGTAGGCATGCCTCTTGTGATAATAATGCATTCGACTTACCACAGGAGGAGCTGGAAGAGAGAAGTATGTTACAGCCCACCAAGATTGTTGTTCTGAAGCCTAATTTTGGAAAGATGAGAAATGCTGATAGATCTCTCTCGTCGCCGAGTTCTTCTGATGAGTTCTTCAGAGCAGATCGCCGGCTTCCATGCACGAGCAATCGAGACTCAGAAATGTGGGGCAGACACAAAGCTTATGAAGATGTCAGCCTGTCGAGGCACATGACTAGAGAGACCAGAGAAATGGGCAAAACAGTCATTAGACAAGTGAAGACAATTTGTGCTAGCTCTGGTTCCGTGAATTCTGAGACCTCAAGACTCAGAGGATATGCAGGGGATGAAAGCTCTTCTGGGAGTGACTCTGCAAGTGAATCAGAGTTAGTCCCGGTAGCTGTAAGAACCAGAACCACTTTTAACCGTAGGAACCACCAAAGATCTTTGCCTTCCAGATCGAATGAATCATCCGTGAATAGGGAGGCTAAGAAGAGACTGTCAGAGAGGTGGAAACTGGCACACAAATCTGAGCAAGAGAGGGAGATATGCAGAAGCAGTACATTGGCTGAAATGCTTGCGATTTCAGATAGGGAGGCTAGACCTGCGAGTTTTAACGGCCTCATTTTTGAAGAGGGACTCAGCAAAAGGTTTGATAACAATGTTGGAAGATCTGAGCGGTCAGAACCGATTGGAATCAGCAGTAGGGATGGTTGGAAAGGTTCTTCCTCAAGCAATCCTTCAAAATCCAGAACCATCATGCATCAAGAGAGCAATAGTGGTTACAAGATTGTGATACCTAAGGAGACAGTAAGACGAGATGGGTTAGTTAAGAAGAGTTCTCCGTACGGAGAAGTATGGTTGTCAGGAAATTCGAGGCCCAGCAGTAACAAATCTCAATCGTCATACAATACTTCACCAGAAATCAACATCAGCCCAAGTTCGAGCAAAATCCTCTATATGGATGACGGGCTTGTTGAGCAGAAGCTTCATGCTGTTAATGGATATACCAGTTTCTCAGCAGAAGCAAATTCAGACATTGAGAATGGTTCGAACTCTGAGGATACCAAGACCACCTTGTCCTTTGAACCCCCGAATATATCAGCTGCCACCTCGTTAACTGAACCTGTAAGTAATCCTAATGTTAAAGTTTTGTTCTAAGCTATCAATTTACAGATTCTATTGCTAAAGTGAAAACTGTTGGTTGTGGACATATTGTAATGACATATCTTGATGTTTAATGATGTTCCAGGATATCTCAGGCGGGTCAACCAAGGAGGTAAATCAGCCATCTTTCCCTGAAGTACAGTCTCAGGAAAACAAAAAGGAAGGCGATCAACCAAGTCCAGTTTCAGTTCTTGAAGATTCTTTCCATGATGATTCTTCATCCAGTTCTGAGTGCTTTGAGAGTGTTAGTGCTGATCTGCAAGGTAATCGACCAAATTTTATTGTTGAAATGGTTTAGGCATAACCATCAATTGAAAATTGCTGTTGATCCAATATGTTGTTTGCTTGGAGACAGAAAAAGAAACTTTGGATAGTTTTTACTGTCTGAATTTAAGATGTGTCATGTAAAAGTTTAAACACATTAACGTGTCTACACATTGCAGGGCTCAGAATGCAACTCCAACTACTCAAACTAGAGTCAAGGGATTACGAGGAGGGGCCCATGCTTGTTTCAAGCGATGAAGATGCAGAGCAAGAGGAATCATCCAGACAAACAAATGAGAAGTTGATGACCACCCAGGAATCTCAACAAGATTGGAGATCATTTTACTTAGTCGATGTCTTAGCCAACTCCAGGTTCAGTGACTCAGACCCGGATACTTTCATGGCGACATGGCATTCCTCTGAGTCACCTTTAACTCCATCACTATTTGAGGAGCTCGAGAAGAAGTACTCTAACCTAAAACCCTCCACACGGCTAGAAAGGAAGTTCCTTTTCAACCGGATTAACGAGGAGCTTCTCCAGATATTCCAGCAGTTCACAGATCCACATCCATGGGTGAAACCATCGAGAATCTGCCCGAAATGGGATATAAACCGGATCCAAGACGCACTACGCGATCTGGTGATGAATAAAGAAGAGAAACCAAGGAAAGGTGCAGAGGAAAAGGTTCTGGAGGAGATGGAGTGGCTGAGCTTGGAAGATGACATTGAAGTCATAGGTAGATATATTGAGAAGTTGTTGACAGATGAACTCATTGCAGAGCTAGTGGTAGAGATCTAGAAGAAGAAGAAGAAGAAGCCCTTTTACTTGTCTAGAAAGTCACATTATTATCATTCATATGTATACTCAACTAAAATGCAATATCTAATGACAATGTCATGCTCATCAAGTGATATGATGAAAGTAAAAAGCTTTGCCATGCAGAAAAGAAAGGTGGATCAAACATCATCATGATCAATGATCATGGACATCATCATCATCGGGCATGCCTAAAGTCAGAAAGTTTTTGTCTTTCTTGATGAACATTGAACATCAAAGACCCAGAGGCGTAAATGGAGAAAGGAGCAGAAAGTTGCAACCTTTACCACCATAGATGCTATTGTACAGAGTTGACAGGGAGACCATTCTCTACTGCCGCGGAATTTCCAGATTTGCCCTCGGGAGTGATGATGAAGGGATTGTTTGTTGTGGTGTCCAGAATTGGGCATTTTTGACTTTTGAAATGCTTGCTAAGGCCTCCGAGGGAGTGATGTCTCCTGTCACTGTCACTCTCTTTGAAGGGAAATCTATGCTGAAGGATTTCACACCTAAAACACCAATGTAAAAGTACTAAGAAACCCACATTGGATTTTATCTAAATTCACTCAAATAAAAAATATTTGCCAAAAAGATTAAGGGAAAAGGGAAAACCCTTCTATTGATAGAAAAGATATCATTTCAATTCCGACTACAAAACCAAATCGAATTGAATGGAGATATAATAATATTCGAACTAAATTCGATTTCAAAACTATTCAATTTTTTTTAGAATAAAATAATTGAATCCAAGGAAATAATTTTTTTTTAATTGGACATGTAGATTAATAGCAGGATTAGTACCTTGGTTTATTCTTTTACAAAATATGTTATATTACCTCCACAAGCTCGGCCCGATTAAAATATATATGGGCCGGATCGGCCCATTCTTGGACGTAGAATAGAATTTATTCACTTGAGAGTGGCAATCTCGTGAATATATCGAACGTGGGGGGTCTTATAATCAAAGACAAAGTCTCACCTCGCATTCTGGATAGGTGTTTCCTCACTTTTCCTTCGCAGCCTTTGCAATGGAGAGACACTCTCAGAACGACAACCTACCCATCCAAAACAATTCACCAATCTGAACACCCTCCAATTACACCATATTTACAATCATGCCACGGACATTAACAACAAACACAATAGCGTTAATTGAGTTTGACAAAAAAAAAACCCCTATTTAAAAGTTTTTTTCTATTTCATTAGTTCCAACTTTCAACTTTTTCAACTGTTTAATTTTATAAAATCAATAAATTCAACCAGTTAAAATCTTTAAATTTACCTCCAATTACACCATATTTACAATTTCTAAAGATTTAACTCTTCTTAACTATCTAATTTTATAAATTCAGCTATTTAAAATCTCTAAATTCACTTTCCATAAAATCCTACAGAATCTTTCCAACTTCTAACACATTTGATCTCACCTTGTTGCCATTTTGGACCAACAACGCAAATTTAACTCACTCGCTTACCTGGTCCGAAGAAGAGAAAGCCGCCTTCTCTGTTTCTATTTGTTCAACAGCATCCTCAAACCCTCTCCTTCTTTCAGAAGGTTCGTAAAGCGGGTCGGGAACCGGTGACCCGGAAACAGTGCCCGGATCTGAACCCAAAAGATACCTCGAAGAACCATGAACAGCAGCACTTCTCCCGCAGCTGAAACTCTTCCTCGCCAAACTCATGTCACCGGCGATGAGCTTCAACAACGAGCTGCTTCTCCGGCCGGCGGAGCTCTTCATGTTACCGCCGGCGTCGGAGGAGGGCATTTTGGAAATTTGGCGGAGACGGTAGGGGACGGAGGAGCATGGTGCGACGGCGAACGATCTCCGGCTACCTTCCTTGATGATTGGGTTGTGGCGGTCGATGGCTCGTCCTCCGCCGC